CAAGTCACTGACTTTGTTTTTATGTAAAGGCAGTTTACCAGTTTTGAGGATCAAAGAATGAATGTAATCTGAGAGCCCTTAACACACTGTAAAATCCCTGAGTAGGGAGAAAAAAAATACTCTAGTGAAGCAGGAGGAAGTTGGGGCTCCTATGAGATCCAAAGACTAATGTCAGAATACTTGCGTTAACATGAGCTTAGCTATAGTTTCCCAGGCACTCCTTTTGGGGTTCTAAGTGCAGAGAAAGACTTTCACCTTGAAGTTAGGAGTGACTCATGGGAAGAAGAATTTCTCCTAGGTTTCTTTGGTTAAGAAAGAGTGTTTTCTTGGTTAAGAGAGTTTTCTTTGGTTAAGAAGGAGAGTTTTCTTAGAAATCTTCATTTCCCTTACTAGCTGGAAGTAGAGTATTATAAAAATAAGATTTTTATTAGCCCAACCCATCTTGTAAATCTCTATAGACTTTGAACAAAACTCTATATAAGAGTAATGCCTTATTTATTTGTGGTTAAATACAGCTGGCAAATATTAATAAGGATATCACATGCGATGTGTTGTCATCAAGCATTACAAATGAACTACTCTGGAAAATAAGCCAACTAAGGGCATTTTTAAGGAGGGAGCAGCCTTGGAATCTTTTTATAGCTCACTCACATTTATAAGCTAATACACCAAATCAAGCGTGCGCACTTAACCACATTCCGTTGTTATCAGTGATTGATCCCTTTCAATTGTAATAACTTTATGTGACAAATTAGAGGCCAAGGAGGGCAGGGAGCAGCAATTGCGAAAGCTCATCAAGTGATCATTGTGCAGCATCAGGATAGAATGGCCCTTTTTTTTGGAGGGGGGTCATAGCTTTTAAATAGCTTTATTTAGGACATTGCATTTTCCACTTACAATACCACCAGAGGCAGAGGGGGAGCTGAATAAGCAGATTGAGTGAACTACACAGCTGAAGGGAGCAGCGGGCAAGTCAGGAGAGGTCTGCTGCGCCATATGGGTCAGCTCCCTGGCCAGGGATTGAACTCGTGCTGCAGTGGCTGCAGGGTAGAATGGCCCTTTTTTTTTGGGGGGGGGGGGTCATAGCTTTTAAATAGCTTTATTTAGGACATTGCATTTTCCACTTACAATACAGTGCTTGTAAGAGGAAACATTACTTCCTTTCTCCATGCACATGTTCCATAGTCAAGTATCAAGAAGGCCCAGTTATGACTATAGCAACTCAACTTTCACTGCCATGGAATTAGCTACAAATTTGCATCCCTTAGTGTTTGTGTGGGACAATGCTATATTCTGTGCCCACATTGGTTTAATTACCCTCCTTAGTTGTGGGCCCAGTGGAGGTCCCAGCAGATGATGTAGCTCCATCACCAGGGAAACCCCCAGGTGTTCCTCTTCCTATGACACCTGCATTCTGGCACAGCTTGGCAATGAATGGATCGCAGACCTTTTCCAGGTCTTTCTGTTGCTGTTCAAAATTTCTTCTCTGCTTTCTGGTTCTCATCAAACCAGATTTCATTACGCTTGTCAAGAATTTTCTGTTTGTCCTCATACTGATCTTGCCTTGAAGTTTCTTGGCACTTGGGCCCGCCTGCATTATTCATCACCATAAAAAGCTAATGCTACATTTCAGGGGCCTCCCTGGTGGTGCAGAGGTTAAGTCTCAGAACTGTCAAGCTATCCCCAGCCACTGTGGCATGAGTTTAACCCCCGGTCAGGGGGCTAACCCACATGGCACAGCAGACCTCTCCTGTCTCGCCTGCTGCTCCCTTCAGCAGTGTATTTCAGTAGATCCACCTGTTCTGAATCTACTCACCCCCTCCACCCCAGTTCTTGTATGCATATAAAGAAAGCTAATGATTTGTTTCAGATTGGAAAACAACACCATCAAATCTACACTCAGAAAGGCATTTGACATCAAAACTGGGCTGGTGGGCTTCATGGCAACTTGATTCTTTGTAGCATCACCAATCATTTGCTCAGAAGTCATAAAGGTGATATAGTTTGGGATAGTTTGGTTTCCCTGATCATTGGCAATTATTTACAATTTACCTGATGGAAGATGCCTACACAAGAATAGGGGGTGCCAAGATCAGTGCCACCTGCAGTTCTCTTAAACAGGGTTACTGTGTATAGGCCTGGCTTGGCTTGCAAAGAAAACAGCAGTCTGCTGAGTTGCTGCCATGCTCAGTGAAACCCAGGAATGGCCATTTCACCCTTAGCAAGGTTAACATGCTGCGGGGGACTCTTTTTTCCTCTCCCTGCAGAAGGACCAGACTGGGAGGAGAATGATTTTCTTGCCTGAAAAGCTTTCCCATTCTAGTCACTGAGAATCACAAGCCTCAAGAATCAGAGCCTCCCACTTTAAAGATGAAAACATTGAGATGTAAAGAGGAAAGGGTTTTATTATTTGGTCACTCAGGCCTACAGTGGCAGTGCTGGGGTTAAAACCTAGGTCCTCTGACCACTGGTCCTGGGGAGTGGGGATGGGGTCAAAGTCACTATATCTGTCCCTACCCTTGGTTCTGCCTATTATCCCCCACTGGGAAAGGCCATGCTGTAGGTCCCCTGGGAATAGAGAACCTGCAGGGGAGCTAAGGCACAGATCCTCAAGGGGCCCATCTTGGGGAAGAGGGTGTTATGCCTTAGTATACAGGTTTGGAGTTGGTGTAGAACAAGCTGTCTGTCAACCAGTAGAGTCAGGGAACAGGAGATTTAGTTGGCAGGAACCAGAGCCACTGGAGGGTCTTGAGTAGCTGTAAGGGAGTGGGGAAGATAAAATAAAGAAAAAATTTAGGGGCACCATTCCCTAAGACTCTGACAGGGAGGTCCTTTACATGAACTGAAATGTTTCAGGTTTATACAGTAAAACAGTCTATGCCTTCCATCTAGGGGAAATCTAGTTCCCTTTACAACTAGAGATTTGAAAATAAAAGATTCTCCATGATAATTCCTTAATACTACACTTCCAGGTGGCTCCAGGGCTCTCTGCTGATTTAAATTAGCAACTGCTCTTTCCAGCCAGATAGAAGTTTCTCTATGGAGCTAAATGAGGAGGGGAGGAGAAAAAGAACTGTATCAAGAACACAATTGGTGAATTCAGGGGTAAGAATTAAGACAATCAGGAGCTCTACTAGGCAACAGGATCTTTCAATGTTGTGGGAAGGTCACTGGAAGAGAAGATGTGTGCAGGTGTGTGGAAAATAAACTACTTCAGCTTGAAAAAAAAATCAGTTGACTTTTTTTCAGAATTACTACATTATTGCATTAATTTTTCCTTTTGTAAACACAATACTACCTTTTCCTTTAGGTAAACACAATACTACCTTGTGAACACAATACTACCTTTTCCTTTAGAAAACCAGGTCACTTGCTGCTCTCTTTCTTGTCTTTTCTTTTTTTTTTTTTTTTTAAGTAATTGCATTCTTTTTTTTTTTAAGATTTATTTATTTATTCATACAAGCACTGGGTACAGAAGCGTGGGAGGGTGAGAGAATTCATCAGAGTCAGAGGGGAGAGCAGAGCAGGCAGACTGATGAAGTACACTGCTGAGGGGAGCAGCGGGCAGCAGGGGAGGTCTGCGCGCCATGTGGGACCCTCACCCAGTGGCCAGGGATCAAACCGGCACTGCAGAGGCTGCAGGCAGCATCGCAACCCAGCGTGCACCAGCAGGGGGGCCCTGCGCTCTTTCTTTAAAGTACAGCTTTGTTGAGGTATAATTGGCACTAAGCATTATAAGTTATTTCACTTATATATCATGGTGGTTTGATATATGTGTTTATAGTGAAAGGATCCCACCCAACCCCATCTAGCTAATGAACTCATCCATCATATTTATCTTTTTTTGTGTGTTTGAAACTATTGAATTTCTACTTCCTTAGCACATTTCAGTAGTACAATACAGTCACCATGTTTTACATTAGATTCTCAGACCTCTTTCCTCATACAACTAAAAGTTTATATCCTTTTGCCAACCTCTTCCTATTTCCTCCACCCTGCCCTCCCAACCTCTGACAACAACTTTTCTATTCCTTGTTTCTGTGAGTTTGACTCTTTTTTTTAAAAGATTTATTTTATTTATTTATGCATACAAGAGCTGGGGTGTAGGCCAGAGGTGTGGGAGGTTAGCAGATACACCGGTGATAGAATGGGGAACAGAACAGGCAGATTTACTGAAATATACTGCTGAGGGGAGCAGCTGGTGACAGGAGAGGTCTGCTGCACCATGTGGGTTAGCTCCCTGGCCAGGCATTGAACTTGTCCTGAAGTGGCTGCTGATAGCTTCATAGTGCTGAGACTTGTGCCACCAGGGAGGCCCTGTTTGTCTTTTTCCATCTGACTTATTTCACTAAACATAATGCCCCCAAAGTCCATCCATGCTGTAGCAGATGGTAGGACTTCATCTTTTTATAGTTGACTAGTAGTTAGTTGTGTACATGTACCACATCTTTTTTCATCCAGTCTTCTGTTGATAGATACCAGGGTTATTTCCAACTCCTGGTTATTATAAATAATGCTGTGATGAACATGGGGTATGTATTATCTCTTCAATCAATCCTTTGGGTAAATACCCAAAAATAGAATAACTGGATCATATAGTTTCTGTTTTTTATTTTTTGAGGAATCTTCATATTGTTTACCATAATAACTGTACCATTTTTCACTACCACCACCATTTTTTCTACATTCTCACTAATACAATATTTCTGTTTTTTGGATAAATGGCCATTCCAACTGGCCTGACTTGATATCTCATTATCGTCTTCTATTTCCTTAATAATAAGAGATGTTGTACATTTTTTCATGTGCCTGTTGGCCATCTGTATGTCTTCTTTAAAAAAAGTGTCTATTCGGATCTTCTGCTCATCTTTTAATCAGGCTGTTTTATTTTTGTTTAACCCCTCCAAATATGCCTCCCTGTCCCAGCCCCTGAAGTACCTCAGTCAGACCCAGGTACACCCTGGCCTCTCTCACTCCTAACTCCACCCCTCTTCTTCCAGGCGGATATCTTCTCTGGGGCCATATTCATCAACTTGGCACTGGGCCTGGATCTGTACCTGGCCATCTTTCTCTTACTGGCCATCACTGCCATTTATACAATCACTGGTGAGTCATTCAAATGATCCAGCAGCTCAATCCCAGTTTAGGATCTGTAACTTGTGAAGAGTGAGGAAGTAAAAGACATAGCTTCTCTCAAGGAAGAGAGATAAACCCAGGAAGGAGGAGGGGGTGTTTGCTTGGCTCCAATTCATGGATTCTAACGGGTTATAGAGTTGGCTCCAGAAAACTCCAGTGTTGGCTGGAATATGGAGGGATGTGGGCCTGTAGGTTGTAGAGAGGACTTGGCTGAGTTGAAAGAGTCAGAGAAGTGTCAGGTACAGGGGTAGGTGAGAGCAAAATAATGGAGGCAAGAACATGGGGTGGAGGGAGGCAGGGTGAGCAAGCAAATGTGCTTGACTGAAGGAGGGTGGCCCATGGGAGGGAGCTGGGGTGTGTGTGGTTCATAAGGCCTGATAGTCCTGAGGTCATAGTGCAGTGTCTTGGATTTGCTCTGACAGGGGCTGGGAGGCATTGTGTAAGGGATAGAATGACACAAAAAGATTTTAGAGGAATACTCAAGAGCTGACTGGAGAGGTTGCTGACACAGAGAACAGCTGGGGGCACCTTTGCAGAGGTGTTACTCTGTGTTGATTAGGCAGAGCCATGGTCAATGATGCAACTTGCTGTTCAGCTAGAGCTCCATAGTTTTGGTGACAAGCTATTACTTAGATGGTCTGAGAAAAGAGAAAGTGGAAATACAAGTAACTCTATAAAATGTGCCAATTTAGCTGTGTCCCCAGACACCTTGTAGAGATGTCTGCACTCTGACTTCCCTGCCTTCATTTATGAAAGATGCTTCTCTACCATAGAGAAGCCATCTTCCTATTTAAAAGGTTCACTTAAAGTTCTTTCTCCCCAAATAGGGAGCAACATTTTCCTTTCCCCAAGGCCTACCTAGCATTTCTATGAAAGCAGAGCTGTTGGAACATGCTGGGCAGCAGGCTACTGAACAGGAAGGGCAGGTCAGGGGAGGGAAGGAAGGAAAGGCCAGTGGGTGACTGAATGGGGTGCAGGGTTAGAAGTGGAGGGTGGGAAAAGGGGACAGGCTACTTGTGCCATCGTACCTGACATAGGATGTTTTGTCTCCCGCCTGTGTAGGGGGCTTGGCGGCTGTGATTTACACGGACACCTTGCAGACGGGGATCATGCTGGTGGGGTCTTTTATCCTAACCGGGTTTGGTAAGTGGTGCTAGGGCAGGCTGAGGAGGTGGGGAGGCAGAGATAGGAGCCTGTGTCCTATCACAGGCAGGAAGCAGGACTAATTCTGCCCTCCCCAGGGAATGGCCTGGGAGTGATTCGCCACCACTGTGGGTGTGCAGAGGGCACCTTCACCAGCCCTGGAGGTCTCAGGTGGCCTGGACCAGTAACATTTGGAGTGCCTGCTGCCCTCTCTAGACAGTGGTTCCCAATGTCAGCCTGTGACAATATAGTCTTCTATCTATAGAGAAACTGGACAAAAAAGTCTACAGCTACACTGTAGACTAAATACATTCAAATGTTGCATCTTAAATCTGATTATATCTTGTCCACATTTTGATGTTAAATGTTCTTTCTTGTATGAATTGATGAAAGTGACTACTTTTTTGTTTGCATCTTTATTTGACAAAATTAACAACCAACCAACCATTCTGTGGTGCTCTCCCCCCACACCCTGATTATTTTATTTTATATATTTTTTACATCATTTTTCATTTTTGCACAATGTATGCATTTTCATCTTGGTTATATTCCCCATAAAATTCCCACCTCCCTTATTTTGACCCTAATCCCTCCTCCCTCCTCCCCCCCCCCATAGAGTATCTCTGGTTTATAGTGGCTTGTTGATTTTGATTTTTACTTTATTATAATTAGTCTTTTTCCTGGTCCTTTACTTATTTATTTATTTATTTATTTATTTATTTATTTAAAGATTTATTTATTTATACAAGAACTGGGGAACAAGCCAGATGTGCGGGAGGGTGAGAGGATTCACCAAAGACAGAGCTGGGAACAGAACAGGCAGACTGAAGAAATACACTGCTGAGGGGAGCAGCAGGCGAGACAGGAGAGGTCTGCTGCGCCATGTGGGATTCTTGCTGGCCAGCCTGGATCAAACCTGCACTGCAGAGGTTGCAGACAGCTTCACAATGCAGTGCTCAACTGCCTGTGCCACCAGGGAGGCCCCTGGTCCCTTATATACATTTTCTAAATTCCTGCTATGAGTGAGACCATTCGGTATTTTTCTTTTTCTTTCTGGCTTATTTTGCTGAGCATGAGCCCTTCCAGCTCTATCCATGGTGCTAGGTATTTACCTAAAGGACACAGAATCATTAATTCAAAAGGGCACCTGCACCCCTATGTTTATAGCAGCACTGTTTACAATAGCTAAGCTATGGAAACAACCCATATGTCCAAAAATAAATGACTGGATCAAGAAGATGTGGTGCATCTACACAATGGAATATTACTCAGCAACCAAAAAGATAAACACATGCAATTTGCACACCCTGATTTTTTAAAAAAAATTTGTCTATGAAATTCTAAAGACAAGACCTTAGATCTCTAGGTATTTAAGATGGAGGGCTGTAAAATGTAGTTTATTTTTATGGGGGCTCATGCTGTCTGTGTGTTCTGCAAAGCCTTGTCCATTCTCTATGCTGTTTTCCAAGAGCTTCCATTCAGTTTTCCCTATCAATCTCCAGGGCTCTGCAGGGGCCGGAATGTCTTTTTCATGGGCACACAACCAAGAGAAGGCAGGGTTCCAGACCCCTCATCCATTCTCTGTCCTTGCTACCAGACTGCTGGAAACAGGGGTTTACTGGTATGACCTAGCCTGTGTCTCCAGCTCTACGTCTGGCATCCCTGCCAGCCACCACAGGGGGTGAGGGGAAAAACAGAGTCTTTGGGCCTGGTTCAAAACCAAAGTCTGGGACCTCCCTGATGGCCTAAGGGTTAAGTCTCAGTACTATCACTGCTGTGGCCTGAGTTTGGTCCCCAGCCAGGGAGGTGTCCCACATGGCACAGCAGACCTTTCCTGCCTCCCCTCAGCAGTATATTTCAGTAGATCTGCCTGTTCTGCTCCCTGCTCTCTCTGGTGAGTCCTCTCACCACTGCCCCCACCCAGCACCTCTGTTCTACACCCTAGTTCTTGTATGCATAAATAAATAAATCTTTAAAAAATTTTTCTCATTAAAAAAAAAAATAACCAAAGTCTGTCTTTTAATAATTCAAATGTCTTCCCTTTGTAAAGTGGTTTATGCTTGGAGTTTTTTCACAGGCCATTGCTTTGGGCCCTCACAGTAGCTCCCTCAAAGGGAACGAGACAAGACAGGGTTAAAAATTCCATTCTATGGATGAGGAAGCTGAGGTCCAGAATGGGAAAGTGACCACACAGTGAGGGCTGGGTTGTAGTCCTCTCAGTTTTTCAGGCACCCCCCAGGAGGAAACTGCTATGAAGAGTTGAGAGTTTCAGGATGTTAATTTTTGTAACAAATGTTTTCCAGCTTTTAATGAAGTGGGAGGGTATGACGCCTTCATGAAAAAGTACATGCAAGCCATTCCATCTGTGGTTTCTGAGGGGAACCTCACCATCAAGGAAGAATGCTACACCCCAAGGCCCGACTCATTCCACATCTTCCGAGATCCACTCAAGGGAGACCTCCCATGGCCTGGGCTCATCTTTGGAATGTCCATCATTGCTCTGTGGTACTGGTGCACAGATCAGGTACACGCTGGACAGGAGACCCAGAGCTCCTGTCTGTCTGTGGCTTGGGGGTTGGGAAAGATAAGACAGGGCTCATGTGGCCTGGGGGTCAGTGCACCTCACTGGCATGAGACTACCTGGTCAAGGACACAGGATGGTCTGGGTGGCGGAAAGCCGTCATGGGTCCTCTGGCTTCCATTCCTCCCTCACTGTGCTTCCCCTGGCAGGTCATTGTGCAGCGCTGCCTCTCTGCCAAGAACATGTCTCACGTGAAGGCCGGCTGCATCATGTGTGGGTACCTGAAGCTGCTGCCCATGTTCCTCATGGTGATGCCTGGGATGATCAGCCGCATCCTGTACACAGGTGATGGCTTCCGCTGGACTCACTGGGTACTTTCTACCATTTTCCTGGCTCTGAGTCATTTCTAAAATCCCTTCACTCACAAGTCCTCCTTTTCTGCCCTTTTTTTTCTTGCCACAATTACCAAGCATGTTCCCCATCTAGAGAGTGAATAATTTGAGGTCACAGAACCTGTGGCATTGTCTTCCCTGGTTTCTTCCACTGGAAATTGCTTCTCTCTTTTTCCCATTCTTTGGAGCTGAGGTGTTTTCCAGCTGATATTTGCTTACTTCTTACTCAGTGTCCCCAGGCTCTTCTTAATGACAAAGAACCTTAATGTCCTTGATTCCAAAGGACCCCAGCTTGCTTCTGAGACCTGTTTCCTTTTCCATTTCCTTGAAGGAGGCCCTTGCACTTGGCTCTCCAGGGTGAAAGATTTTTCCTTGCCCCTTCTATGGCCTCGCTGGCATTGCCATTTGCACTTATTTATTTATTTATTTATTTATTATTTTGGTCAACCATCATAAATCAATACTGTTTCCTGGAATATGAGATAATACAAAAAAAAAAAAAAAAGAGAGCACTGTGGAGTGAAATTATTGTGAGCACTTTTCAAAATGAAGACAGAACAGTCAAAGTGCATTTGCTGCCATTGGCTGTTAAGAGTGCTCTTAATGGTGGTCTCACATTCCTGTATTGGCTTGCCTGTTATGAGAAAAAATATTCCTAATTGAATAGTTTATATTATAATGGATATAACACATATAAAAATTTTCCAACCAAGGCCTCCCTGGTGGTGCAGTGGTTGAGCGCTGGGTTGCGAAGCTGCCCTCAGCCTCTGCAACGCCAGTTCGATCCCCGGCTGCTCCCTGGCCACCGGAGGAGGGTCCCGCATGGCGCGCAGACCTCTCCTGCCGCCCGCTGCTCCCCTCAGCAGTGTACTTCGGTCCTTCTGCCTGCACTGCTCCCCGCTCTGGCTCTGGTGAATTCTCTCACCCTCCCGCGCTTCTGACTGTATGCAGTGCTTGTATAAATAAATAAATAAATCTTAAAAAAAAAAAAAATTTCCAATCAGTGCTATAATGAAGCAGCACTAGATGATATACCTGTAATAGCTACCTGTTAAATGTTCGTTGATTTGAATTCTATAGACATCTCTAGAATTTTCTCCAGGGTCTAGATTATGTTCCTTCTCTCTATTCCCCACCCCACTTGCCACAGCTACTTCTTTTCTATCTTACTCCAGACATTCCACATTTTGGAAGTACTACCCAGTAGACCTCCTCCTGGGGGAATTTCCTCCATTGTCTGAGTGTTTAACCTTACTTGCTAAAGTACCTTAAAGGATCCTCAAAATAAGGAGCTGCCAGTCCCTGTAGTCTTCAGTAGAAACAAGACAGTACTGCTGAGCTGCTGCACAGCTGGCTAAAGTCTGCGGACCACATCCCCTCCCTTCCCACCTTGATCATTTCTTTGCCTCTCCCCTCCTCTGCCTAGAAACTGCCTTTTCTTCCCAGGCAGAGCTTGGGGGTGGTCAGGACCAGGACAGGGCACAGCATGGAAGGGCTCAGCCAGGAGCTGCCCTCCATAGAGCCATTTCAGGGTCTTAGGCAGGATTATCCTGTTCAAAAGCTTGTTTTAAGAAAGTGAATCTTGGAATTTCGCCCCCCCCCCACCCAGTGTCTGCTTGCTGACTTGGTTATTCATCTCTCTCCAGATAAAATTGCCTGTGTCACCCCCTCGGAATGTGAGAAGTACTGTAACACCAAAGTTGGCTGTACCAACATTGCCTACCCCACCTTGGTGATGGAGCTCATGCCCAATGGTGAGAGTCATCCCCGTTGGCAGGGGCTTGCTTAGGAGGTTGATTGGGCTTATGGTTTAAAGAGATTTCTGTGGCCCTCTGGGGGAAAGCCTCATCTGTGCTGGGGGGCCAGTAGAGAAAGACTTATTCTCGGTGTCTTCAGTTTTGGACATGTCTTCTCTCAGCAGAAGATATGACTTAGATATATGACTTAGTTGGGCTCTCCCATCCATCAAATTTGGAAAAGAAATGATCTGAAAACATCTGAGGGAAAAACATGACTTTTCCATGTTCATCTAAAAGGTCTTTTGAAGCTCTCCAACAGACATTAACATGAAGGCTTGAATAAGTGGAGTTTTACCTGAAGAATGAATTGTCTTCTGGGCTGTTTCAAGTTGTTTGTTTGTTTTTCCTTTTTTTTTTTTTTTTTTTTTTTGATGCTCAGCTTGACTGTCTTTTATTTTTTATTTTATATGTATTTTTTTTTTACATCATTTGATTTTTCTCTCCTCAGGTGTAATCCCTATAAAACTCCCACCACCACATCACCTGGGAATTGTCACCATAGTCTCTTGTGTTCTTCCCTTCCCTTTTTTGACCCATCTCTTTGCCTCATACCTGTGATGTGTCTCAGTTCTGTAATTTGCCTGCTAGTTTTGTCTTTTTTTTTTCTGACTCCTTGTTTGGTTTCCTGATGTTCCTCCTATAAATGAAACAATCCAATGTTTTTTTTTTCCTTCTGATTTATTTCACTGAGCATAATCCCTTCTAGCTCCATCCATGTTGCTGTGAATTGCATGAGTTTATCTTTTTTAATTACTGAGTAGTATTCCATTGTGTATATACACCACATCTTCTTTTTTATTTTATATATTTTTACATCATTTTTCATTTTTGCGCAATGTATGCATTTTCATCTTGGTTATATTCCCCATACAATTCCCACCCCCCCTTATTTTGACCCTAATCCCCCCTCTCCTCCTACCTGTTCCCCTGTAATATGTCTCTGGATTATAGTTGCTTGTTGATTTTGATTTTTACTTTAACCAAAATAAAGAGACACCCCACCGACTGGGAGAAAAATTTTGCACACAACACTAATGATAAAGGGCTGATCACAAAAATCTACAAAGAGCTGAAGAGACTCAACAAAAAACAAGTAAATAATCCAGTCAAAAAATGGGCAGCAGAGCTAAAAAGGAACGTCTCCAAAGAGGAAATGCAAATGGCCAACAGGCATATGAAAAAATGTTCAGCATCACTTGTAATCAGGGAAATGCAAATCAAAAATATGCCACACCTTCTTGATACATTCATCTGTTTTGGGGCATTCAGGGCATTTAGCTTTAGAATGAACAAGTATAAGGAAGTATATGGGTAGTTTACAATGGGCCTTCTTACTCTGAAGAACTTGTTATCGTAAGAGAATGGATACTTAGAATCCAGAACAGTTTTTGGGTAGGCCTGCAAGTCTATTCATTGTTCATGTTTCATACAGAAGAAAAATCTAATTCTGGATCAGGAGATGCAATTTTTGTTAGATTAGTGGGTCTCAAGAGATCATAAATTTGAAACTATTAACCAGGAAAATTTAGAATGAACTTAAAAAATTTTATCGCTGAAAGGAAACATAGAGACCATCTAGTCAAACCTCTTCATTTTACAGTTGGGGAAACTGAGAGGAGCAGGAGTAAAGGGCACATAGCAACTGAGTATCTGGTTCACTTAACTTTGCTCATGGAGGGAGATGAGGAATTTGGGATTTTTTCTAACTACAGACTGGATGTATGACCTTGGGCAAACCATTTGAATTCAAATTCCATAAAAATGGGTGTAATAGGTAACTTTTCCACTGAGCCAGGCTGCTTGTTAATTAAGGTTGCAATTAGGAAGAGTCACATGGCTCATTTAAGTTTCTGGCTGGGATTACACTGGACTCTATGGGGTGTTTATCTTATTTTCTTTAGATTGGCAGATACCAGGTGAGAGCAGTAGCTCTAACTACTGTGCTAGAATGGACTGTGCATAACAGAAAGATCAAGGACAAGGAATGCTGTCTTTATGTATATCACTGCCATTCCCTCACTTTCAGTTGAAATCTGGTTTCTGACCTTCCTGTGCTAGATCAAAAAGATGTTTTCCATATAGGCAAAACACTACACAACATGCACCTCAAAGACATCTTTACAGACACATCACCCAAAGCAATGATAGTGAAGGCAAAGATAAACAGCTGAGACTACATAAAATTAAAGAGCTTCTGCACAGCAAAAGAGACAATAACCAAAACAAAGAGAAACCCCACCGACTGGGAGAAAATTTTTGCGCACAACACTAATGATAAAGGACTGATCACAAAAATCTACAAAGAACTGATGAGACTCAACAAAAACAAAGAAAATAATCCTGTCAAAAAATGGGCAGAAGAGCTAAAAAGAAACTTTTCCAAAGAGGAAATGCAAATGGCCAACAGGCATATGAAAAAATGTTCAACATCACTTGTAATCAGGGAAATACAAATTAAAACTACCATGAGATACCATCTTACACCAGTGAGAATGGCACATATTCAAAAAACTAGCAACAACAAATGTTGGCGAGGATGTGGAGAAAAAGGAACTCTCCTGCACTGTTGGTGGGAGTGCAAACTGGTCCAACCACTATGGAGAGCTGTCTGGAGATTTCTGGACCTACTAAACATAGAGCTTCCATATGATCCAGCAATTCCACTCCTAGGTATTTACCCAAAGGACACAGAAACATCAATTCCAAAGAGCACCTGCATCCCTATGTTTATAGCAGCACTATTTACAATAGCTAAGCTTTGGAAACAACCCAAATGCCCAAAAATAGATGACTGGATCAAGAAGATGTGGTACATATACACCATGGAATACTACTCAGCATTCAAAAAAGATAAACACATGCAATTTTCAGCAACATGGATGGAGCTGGAAGGGATCATGCTCAGCGAAATAAGCCAGAAAGAAAAAGAAAAATACCGGATGGTCTCACTCATAGCAGGAATCTAGAAAACTTAAATAAGGGACCAGGAAAATGAATAACTATAAGAAAGTGAAAATCAAAATCAACAAACAACTATGAACCAGAGACACTCTATGGGTGGTGGGGGGCGGGGCAGGGAGGGATTGGGGTCAAAATAAGGGGATTGCAATTGCATGGGGAATATAAAAAAAAAAACACTAAAATGAGATACCATCTTATACCAGTGAGAATGGCACATATTAAAAAAACTAGCAACAAAAATGTTGGTGAGGATGTGGAGAAAAAGGAACTCTCCTGCACTGCTGGTGGGTGTGCAAACTGGTCCAACCACTAAGGGAAGCTGTATGGAGATTCCTCAACCTACTAAAGATAGAGCTTCCATATGATCCAGCAATTCTATCCTAGGTATTTAACCAAATGACACAAAAACATTAATTCAAAAGATACCTGCACCCCTATGTTAACAGCAGAAGTATTTACAATAGCTAATCTTTGGAAACAACTCAAATGCCCAAAAATAGATGACTGGATCAAGAAGATGTGGTACATACACACCATGGAATATTACTCAGCAATCAAAAAGATAAACACATGCAGTTTGCAGCAAGATGGATGGAGCTGGAAGGGATCATCAGCGAAATAAGTCAGAAAGAAAAAGAAAAAGAACGGATGACCTCCCTCATAGCAGGAATTTAGAAAACCTAAATAAGGGACCAGGAAAAGACTAATTAATACAAAGTAAAAATCAAAATCAACAAGCAACCATGGACCAGAGACACACTGGGGGGGGCGGTGAGGAGGGGGAAGGGGTGGGGAGAGGAAGGATTAGGGTCAAAATAAGGGGGGGTGCAATTGTATGGGGAATATAACCAAAATGAAAATGCATACATTGTGCAAAAATGAAAAATGATGGAAAAATTATATAAAATAAAATATTAAAAAAAAAGAAAAAGAAAAATACCAGATGGTCTCACTCATAGCAGGAATCTAGAAAACCTAAATAAGGGACCAGGAAAAAGAATAACTATAATAAAGAAAAAATCAAAATCAATAAGCAACTATAAACCAGAGACACAACTATGGAGGGGGTGGGGAGAGGAGGGATTTGGGTCAAAATAAGGGGGGTGCAATTGTATGGGGAATATAAAAAAAACTTTAAAAAAAAAGATATTTTCCATCTTACTTGACCCTCAGTAGCATTCAGCATTATGATCACTTGTCTTTCTTGAGTTACTCTCTTGGATTCCATAGTGTTATTCTCTTCTGTTTATTTCGACTACTGCCTCTCCTTTTTCAGCAGCTCCTTATTGTCTCATTTGCAGATTCAGCCTCCTCCAGTCAGCCAGTAAAGGTCCCCACACAAATCCATCATGAGATTCTGTTCATTTTGCCTCCTAACTATCTCATATGCATCAACTTCTTTACACGCACACACACACATACCATCACCACCACCACCATCATTGTTCAATTGACAAGTATTTACCTCATATATAATTTTTGTTCTTAGCTCTTTGTTGACTGCTGTGAGTTTACAATGTAATTTAAAGCTAGAGTCCATTTCTTAAAACTTCTGGTTCTTTTGGAGAGACAAATCAGAGAACAGTGTATGTTTTTGGCAGGCAAACAAACCTTGAGTCCTCACTTGCTAAGCATAAAAGAGCTCAGGTGCTTTGTGCCACTCAGAACCTCCTTTTCTTCCAGGACTGCGAGGCCTCATGTTGTCAGTCATGTTGGCCTCTCTCATGAGCTCCCTGACGTCCATTTTCAACAGTGCCAGCACCCTCTTCACCATGGACATCTACACCAAGATCCGGAAGAGAGCATCTGAAAAGGAGCTCATGATTGCAGGAAGGTAAATCCGGCTGTTCCCTAGAATGCACCCCTGGAATTCCCCTCAAGTTGGGAAGATAAGCAGATACTTGGGTAGAATGGGAGTAACCTCTGTGGAGAGTAATATTTGCCCTTCAGTGGCACTTAACTTTGAATTGGAGATCATCAAGCGATGCCCCTCTGGAGTGAAAAGCCACATCAGAGATCGTCTAATCTAAACTCCTGTCTACCAATGAGCAAAAAGAGACTTGTCCTGCCTAAATCTAGACACCTGAGGCAATGGCAGACCCAGGTCTGGAATCCATGGCTAACCGAGAGTTATCCAAGACTCTTTAGACCACCCACACCATCTTCCTCAGCCCTCCACACTGACGCTCTCCTCACTGAACATCTTTGAGGCTTACTCTGTAAGATTTAAATACCAGGCTATGAGCACATTTGTTAATGTCAAAGAGGCTAATGGACACAGCAGTATATTGAAAACAATTCATGGATTGGATGTACTTATTATCATCATTATCCATGGAGAAGTTGCCCTGGATAGAGGACTAACAGAAGCTCCTCCATGTCTCTCCATGGGCTGAGGCAGGGCAAGCTCCTCAAGGCAGGGGAACAAGTCCCTGAGCTATCAGTCAAGGGTACAGGAGTACAGGGGGGATATGGGCTGCCACCTGATAAGCCTCATGGGCAAGATTAGGGCAAATGAAAGTAAGGAAAATGGTAAGCCAGTCCCAGGTGATGAAATACCAGACATCTAGAGGTCAGACTAGGTCAATACCTATTACTATACTTCAAGGAAGCAGTACCATTTCCTGGATGACTTTTCCTTAAGAAGAGTTTTCTGACTTTCTGTTATTTATAAGACTCAAGATACAACCAGGGAAGAGAAGTATTTTGTTTCTTTGCTCAAGGCAGGACCCCTTCACCCTGAGATAATGTTGGGATTCATAATTTTTTGTGCAGCCAATGACTGCTGCTCTGAGGCTCATCCCTGCCCTTGATACACTTACACTCAGATGGAACAATTCCAAATGTTGGAATTGCCAGTAAGAGCAATCAGGGCTCAGAAAAGGGAGAGGTGAAAATGATGTGTACTAGCTGTGGATGGCTACTGGCAGGAGGGAAACCCTAAATTAGGTCCCAAATGGTGGGGACTGGGTCTAGGTCCCTACTGAAAGTCAAGTGCATTTCACTTACTCAGAGGCACAGATGAATTCTTGAAGAGGCAGAAGAAAAATTCCTCAAGAATTAATTTGCTAATTATTTTTCCTTGCTGTGGTATTACAAACATATATTAGAGCTATAATAATATATTACCTATATAAAATATATAAGACTTGTTTTACATATTTTACATATGCTTATTTGTTATGTGTACATATTTACTAGTTATAGATATCTTTGATACCCAGTGATCTATTTATTCATGTGAAGACTTTTTTTTTTTTTTGCATAGGAGAACTGGGGTGTAGGCCAGGGGTATGTGTGGGGGTGGTGAGAGGACTCACCAGAGACAAAGTGGAGAGCAGAACAGGTGGATTGACTGAAATACACTGCTGAGGGGAGCAGCGGGTGAGTCAGGATAAGTCTGCTGTGCCATATGTGGGTTAGCTCCCTGGTCGGGGGTCCAAATCAGACCGTAGAGGAGATAGCGCTAGGCCATCAGGGAGGCCTGGAGCCATTTATTAACACTTGGTTATGGGGGCTTTGATTTCAGAGTGTTCATCGTGGTGCTGATTGGCATCAGCATCGCCTGGGTGCCCATTGTGCAGTCAGCACAAAGCGGGCAGCTCTTTGATTACATCCAGTCCATCACCAGTTACTTGGGACCTCCCATCGCAGCTGTCTTCTTGCTGGCTATTTTCTGTAAGAGAGTCAACGAGCAGGTGGGTATCATCCATGCATGCCCAGAAAAGCCTTTCTGGCCCAGAAACTCCCAACTGGACTTATATATTCTCTGTGGGAGGGAATTCTATTTTGAGAGATCTAAAGCAGGAATGGATGTGCTGCTGAGTGTTTGTACAGGGAAAACCTTCAGGGCCTCTCCTGGGTTCCCATTCTTTTAGACCCCCTTTTTTCCTTGCTGCAGATTTCAAACTAGTTCCCAAAGAATGATACACATTTTCTATCCAATCTTGGTGATTTTGACCTGACTGCCTGGCACTCCCTGAGAAGTCTGTGGCCCCTGGGGAGCAGTCCCAGCAGAAGACCTAGCACGGGATACCCTCCAGGGATTCCACAGTGAACTTTCCAGCTGTATTTTTTAGGGCCCAGTGTAGGATGAAGTTCTAGTGCTCAGAAGCTTATATTTAAAACAATGTAAGGTAGATGACATATACGGCTCAAAATATAAGTGGGAAGTTATTCTCAGAAAGGCTACATCAACATGGGTTGATATTGAGGGGGACAAGAGGGCATTCAAGGCAGAGACAACAGCACTGCCCAGAACTTAGAGGGGCAAGTAGGTTAGGGATAAAGGTGACAGACTTACCTGGCTTCTCACCTCACTCAATGTGTGTGTGTGTGTGTGTGTGTGTGTGTGTGTGTGTGTGTGTGTGTGTGTGTAATGGAAGACACAGCTCGAGAGGCAGTTTATCATTAAGTTAGGAATGGCCCCTTTGAAAACCACACTAAAGAGTTTGGGTCATTAGTGGAGTGTCCTTGCAGATTTTGAAGCATCATGAAAAGAATGAGTATGTCTTCTGACTGGGGTATCTCAGCTGTCTTTGTATCCAATCACCTGCATACCGGGGGAGGTTTGGGAAGGAGTCGGGGTGCTGACTATATTGGAAACAATATAAAGATGACAAATTTTTGGCTGGAGACCACCACTTTCTCCCAGGAGAATATATGCCAGGGAAATATATACAAAAATATATACAAATACATACAAGGGAAAGACCTTCCTAGAGTGACCCAATTTTAGATGTATAAGTCACTACCTGTGTCTTTCTTTTGTCAACCCTTGCCAACTAGGAAACAATTCCATATTTGCTGTTGACACAATATTGGGTGCACAGAAAAACACCTTGAAAGATCAGAATTCAATTTGAAATGGATCTTGACAGGTTAGAGAAATGGGAATACATTTTTGGGCTAAGTTTCAAAAGAAATTGGCTGAAGCTGGTTCACTAGGCGATTTCTAAAATGCAAGTTAGAAATATGTGGCTGTGCCTCCCCGGTGGCGTAGCGGTTGAGCGCTGGCTTGCAAAGCTGCCCGCAGCCTCTGCAATGCCAGTTCGATCCCCGGCTGCTTCCAGGCCACTGGAGGAGGGTCCCACATGGCACGCAGACCTCTCCTGCCACCTGCTGCTCCCCTCAGCAGTGTACTTCGGTCCTTCTGCCTGCTCTGCTCCCTGCTCTGGCTCTGGTGAATTCTCTCACCCTCCCGCGCTTCTGACTGTACCCAGTGCTTGTATAAATAAATAAATCTTTTTAAAAAAATATGTGGCTAAAATCTCAGCTGGCTATTGCAGTGGACATGTGCATATTCAGTTCTGTACTGGACCAGGGCTTTCAACAGAGCTAAGAACTGGGATAGACATAGAGGTTCTCAACTGGGGGGAGGGCGACGTTGCCCTTCTCCAGGGGACATTTGGACATGTTTGGGAATATTTTTCATTGTTATGAATTGGGAAATGCTACTGTTGAATGCTGCTAAACATTCTACAATGCACAAGACAGCCTCCCCATTCCCAAAAAAGAAGTATTCAGCCCAAAGTTCATTGTGCTGACAATGAGAAACTGGCTGAGAGTCTCCAGAGAGGAGGGTGCAGAGACTGCACCTGCAGGATGCGTCTCAGAACTGGTCCAGCACTCTATGGAAAGGTGAATCCAAAGCTTGAGGAAAATGTCAAAAGTTTCCAGATTTTTTGAGAGCCTCTTGAGAATAAAAACTAAAAGGCTAATTGCCAAAAATGAGAAGGAAATTCTTGCAAGTTAAATCAACTCTGTTCACACAAACTAAAGTGAGGAAATAATTTTTTAACTAAGTAAGTGTATGGGTAATGAATAGAGAACATTTCTTCCCTTATTCATTTATTTATCTAGCTGATGCTTTCATATCCCAAATGTGGGGCTAAGTGCTGTTAACAAAAAGGTTCCTTCCCTGGGCAAACTCCGGGTTCAAATGGGGACACATAGAAATGAATATATTTCACAGTGGTGTGGTCAATGCCAGCATGAAGCTGTGCCCACAGTGCTGCAGCCACAATAAGGAGGCAGTGTTCATCCATTTCTGTCTGGGGAGGTAGAGAAGGGGCATTCAAGTTAGAACAAGGTTTCCAGGAAGGGAAGAGCGGTGCTCTCCCAGGTAGAGAGAATGACTTGTGCAAAAACCTGGGATGAATATACCTGACATGTTTTAAGAATAACTGGTGATTTAGTGTCTCTGGAACATAAAAATGTAGGGCTACCAGTGGCCTGCAAAGGAGCTATCTAGATCCAGCCTGACAAAACCCAATTTAGTTTTTTCTTGTTTCTTTGAGGAGTACCAAATTATTGATACTTCATAAGTAATTGCGTCTCAGTGTGCCTAAATTTGGAGGCTGGTGATGATGGTATATGTAGGCTGGGAGGTTCAAGTTACTTTTAAAGTTAAAGGGAATTTATAATTCGAGCTTTGAGTTGACATTCTCACCAGATCTTAGATGCATCATCCCATTATATCATAAATCATTGTTTTATGATCCAGGTAAAAGCTTATCACTGAAACACACCCACTGAAGACCTGACCTAATACTCCTAACCATATTCTGAACATCCACTGTTCTGGCTTCAGGTGACCTAGAACTATCACTTCTCTCACCTTTATTCCTGCCTCCGGCCCCTCAAGAATGCACAGTTGTTTTTGTGTGTTCAGCCTTTATGAAGCTAAAGTTTCCTTTCACAGGGAGCTTTTTGGGGGCTGATCATAGGATTCCTGATTGGAGTGTCCCGTATGATTGCTGAGTTTGCCTATGGAACCGGGAGCTGCATGGAGCCCAGCAACTGCCCCACGATTATCTGCGGTGTGCACTACCTGTACTTTGCCATCATCCTCTTTGTCATTTCTGTCATCATCATTTTGACCGTCTCGCTCTTGACCAAGCCCATTCCAGATGTACATGTGAGTATCCAGTTGGGAGACATGTCCACCCCTTGCTTCATGTTCATGCTGCAATACCCATCTTACTTGGCCTTGGCTCAGTTAAATATTTCACACTCATGTGACTAAAGCAGTCCACATTTGCCATTGGCTTCATGTAGAAGGACATAGGATAGGAAGTAAGGTTCTGTCCCAGCAGGGTGGTATCAAGTGTGTATCTTCAATGGGAGTTCACATTTCAGCCCAGGAGTCTTTGAATCCTGCTCCCTAAATGACAGCTCAGGTACAAGGGCATAAGATCACCTGGGTGAGCACAGGGTTGGTTCTGGTTTGGATGCTCATGTCCCAAATAGGAACTTATATTTCATATAACAGTGTGTGATCATAGCTTCCAGGGGGGCCAGCAAGGATACATATTTAGTTACAAAAATCACCACATGGGGCCTCCCCAGTGGCCAGTGGGTTGGGTGCGGCGCTGTCCACAGCCTCTGCAGCGCTGGTTAGATTCCCTGCCAGCGGGGGAGAGACCCATGTGGCACAGCAGACCTTTCCTGTCTCGCCTGCTGCTCCCCTCAGCAGTGTTTTCAGTTTGTCTGCCTGTTCTGCTCCCCGCTCTGTCTCTGGTGAGTTCTCTTACCCTCTCGTGCCTCTGGCCTATACCCCAGTTCTTGTATAAATAAATAAATCTTTTTTAAAAAAGTCACCATGTGAAGTTTAATTTTCCAAATAAGATGCCAAACAGTTACCCAAAGAATGAAAAATACTTCAAGAATTATCAAAGTTTGGTTAGTTCAAAACTTTAAAAAATGGCAGTACTCTTCGTTAGCTTGAGATGTCATCTTGGTTTAGGGCTTATTCACAGCCCTCCTAATGTAGATGAAGATTACTAAGTACAGGCCATTTTTACCATGACCAATATAGTCCGGTAACTCGACACAGTGGATATCTTCTTTCTTGGTTTCTAAAACAGAACTGAAGAGTTAATCCAAGATCGTATTTCTCCATAAAGAAGGAAAAAGTGGTTTTGTTAATCTTTTACTCACATATATAGAATCCCTAAAAATTTTTAACCTCACTGACAAGTTTTCAAGGTGATGTCATGAAAAATAAGGAAAGAGTAGAGAACTGTCACAGATTAGAGAAAACTAAGGAGACATGACAACTAAACCTGATACAAGATTCAAGATTAGATCCCAGAACAGAAAAATAACATGAGTAGAAAAACTCATGAACCTTGAATAAAGTCTGCAGTTTAATTAATAATATTGTAGCCATGTTATTCTTTATGTGCATTTATATACTATGGTTATATAGCATGTTAACATTAGGGGAGACTTAGTAAGAGGTATATAGGAACCCTCTCTACTATTTTTGAAAATTTTTGTTAAGTGTAAAATTGCTTAAAAAAAGTAAAAAACATTTCAAAGCTATCAACCATAAGGTCACACAAAGATTACTTGTACAGCAGCAGAAATTCCATCGTGTTTATTTGCCAAATCTGGCTCAAATTTGTGTTATATTAATTGCTTCCTGCTGTTTCAGTCTTTAAAAGTACTGCAGCCCTAAACACATCTTAGCTCCATGCTTCCCCTTGAAGCAGAGGAAGCAAGATTGTCACCAAAGAGGATGAAGTTGGGATGAACACCTGCATTGATTTTCAGACTTCAAGTTTCTGGTTTCATGTCAATCGAAACTGTGCCTCCAGCTCCATTAAATGGCTCATGATTCTTCAGATTCTCTCCCAATAAGATGGCAAACACATTATATAAAAATCTGGTCTTACATGACTGGCCTGGAGAAATGGGTGTATAGTCTTGTTTGCCAGCATCAGTGCTAAAAAGAACAATTTCATTTATCATAGGTAACAAGAATTCATTCATTTGGAACATCTCTATATTCAGAATAATCTGTTAGTCTCCAAATATGGCTGTATCATAGGGGCTCATGTGTACATGTGTATGGTTTGCATCTAAGTTTCCAGCACTTTTGGTGATGCTTTGGATGGTAACTGTTAGCTATATTCCTCTTTGTACCATTAGGCCAAATTGCTTTTCCTTTCTTGACGCATGTCTCTTTATTCTCCAAATTTGTTGGTCCAAGACACTGTCTGGATCTTTTTGATAAATCTGTTCTGTTTTCCCCACAGCTCTACCGCCTGTGTTGGAGTCTGCGCAACAGCAAAGAGGAACGTGTTGACCTGGATGCAGAAGAGGAGAACTTCCAAGAAACCCCAGAGGAGACTGATGAAATAGGTGATTTATGACTCAAAACCTATTCTCAAACCCTAAAAATTTATTCCCACAGCAGCAAGACCACCGAAGCCTTCACTAAATGCCTTCATTAAAGCTCAGACCTCTATTCTAGAGGGGAATGAGGAGCTCAGTGGAGAGTGAAATGAATAAATGGATTTGGGTAAAGTTCACCCTGAGGTCTGGTCAAGAGAAGGAGGGAGATGCGGGGCCACCATAGCTCCCTCACCCCTCAGAGTTTAAAGAACTCGCTGAATAGGTATGGGTGAAGAATCTGTCACCTGACCTGACTTGGAGCATGGTCAGGGCCAAAGAAAGGGTCAGAGCTCTTCTGACATAGCCTATGAACTGAATGCAGATGGAATGAAAGCTATGGTCAGTTCTAGTGACATCAGAGGGTGATATAGAGGTTTGGGGGATCTTATGTCTTACTGGCTGACTACATCAGATTTTAAATATCAGATTTCTCTGGAAGTCCAATGAGATAATGCTTAGTCCATGCTTAGAGGTTTATCCTGATCACAGAAAAATGCTTTCCTCAACTTCTGTGTTGCAACTTTTCTTCCCTACCTTGCAGACAGTTGTGGAGATGTGTGGCATGCAGAACTCAAGGTCATGTGTGTCCTAGCATATGCTGGGCTGGAGGTCTCATCACTCCTTCAAATCGGGAGCACAGTTGCAACAGAACAAGTTCTGAGTCTGGCCACAAGGAATATCATAGAGTCCTAGTTCTGGAAAGGGTTTCAAGATCATCTGATCTTATCACCTCCTTTTACAGACTTGTAAATTGAGGCCCAACAGGGAGAGGTTTTGCTATTGCTCTTGGTCTCTAAAGACCTTTTAGTTCTTAAACCTGTGACTCCAAGTCCTGAAAGCTGAGCACCCTGGCAGCTGACCATGGTGCTGAAAAGACAGCATTTCCCTCCCACCCCCCTCCTGCATCCCTGGAGCAGGCAGTTGTGAACATAACCCCTACTTCTTCCACCTCCAAAAATATCTCCACCTTGAGTAAGGATATTGTAGATTTGAAAGAGCATGGATGAGGAATATTTCTTATTGGGCTGGTCAGAGAACCCAATGCCTTGCTACTCTTTTCTCATTCTCCCATTTGGGTGGAATGAGACAAAATTGAGGGGAGCAAGGATGCTTGCCTTTTTTTCTTATGTATGTTAGAAAAAAAAAGAATGGAAGGAGACTAACACTTCTCAAGCCTATTACTGGCTTTCTCCCATGAAACCTTGTAATGAAGAAAGTATTATTTACCTAGGTTCATATGTGTGTGTGTGTGTGTGTGTGTGTGTATGTATATATATATGTACACATATATATAGGGAGAAAGAGGTGAATTACCAAGATTGTAAGTTGGATTTTGTTCCCAGTTCTGCTATATTTATATGCTAGCTCATGAAGGTTCTTTCCAATTCTGAAAGCATCTGACTCTTAAAAATGATAGAGTGGAGACTAGTTGTTCTTAATCTGAGATCCTCTCTCTCTCTCTCTCTCTCTCTCTCTCTCTCTCTCTCTCGTTTTGTTTTTGAATTTATGTAGCATTTGGATTACATAATTTTTTTGTGTTTTGGAGATGTAGGATCTCCCACTTCAGGTGTTATTACTACACCGCCCCACCACCAAAGCACCCACAGTCCATCCCCATGGTCATTTGTGTTCCCTCTCCAGACATGAGATTCTAAGATAGATGTATCTGCCTCCAGTGCCACATTTGGGCTCAGGGGAGAAAATCACATCCCTTGGAGGGCATCTACTTTGAATGGCGGCACTAGTTGGATGGTTGATTCAGCAGCATTGATATACAATATCAGATTTTAAGCCCTGTAAATGTTAATGAGCACATCGCTGTATCAGGTATTATTCAACCCAATCCCTGTCACATGGTTGGTACTGGTATGAAGATTTGTAATTTCCAGGTGTGCACAATGAAATTCTGAGTCATGCCAGTTTCATTTCTTTCCAATGAAGTAGAGAACAGATGTGTGTCTATGTTTCTGAAGTGAATTTTTCATGTCCTTCATATGTCAGTGTTCCCCAGTCCATTATTAACATTTATCTCCCCCCAAAAAATGATTATTTTTGTTTGAGTCTGATTGATCTAAATCCAAATACATTTGCATTGGGCCTGATAGAGATAAAATATAGTCTAGATAATCTTAAGGATGTAGGGTCCATCTGTTAACATCATCTTAAAATAATTAAGTTCATGCAAACACTTGGTACCATTTCCATTACTGCAAACAAGAAAATTGGGAAGTGTCCTCAGGATGGCAACTGTTCCATGTGTGGCATCTCCCCTGGAAACCTTATGTAGTGCTTTCTACTTCTGTATCAAGCAACTCTTTTATCCCTTTCCCCTAATGCAGAAGCTCCTGAGAACAGAGGATGCTGCAGGAAGGTCTATGACATGTTTTGTGGCCTGGACCAACAGAAGGGGCCTAAGATGACAAAAGAAGAGGAGGAAGCCATGAAGTTGAAGATGACAGACACCTCTGAGAAGCCTTTGTGGCGAATGATAGTGAACATCAATGGCATCATCCTGCTGGCTGTGGCCGTCTTCTGCCATGCATATTTTGCCTGAGCCCTGCCTTCCCCTGCAGGCTGTGCTCTCAAGGGCTGGACTCCTTACTCTGTCTCCCTTTAGTCCTATTCTGTGATGTTCTAGGGAAACCAACTAGTTGAAAATTTTGCCCTAGTTGATAAATGTGTACATGTGTAATTACATGATAACTGGAGAAAGGAATATTAATTTTGCTGTTAACTTATTTGAGGCCAGTGTGATATAGTCAACTGTATATACTAAAGCTGCAGAAGGAAAGTACATTTAAGAAAAGGCAGGCTGAGAAAACGAAATCTCCATGACGTCTGATGCCAGGTTCAACATGTCAATTTTGTCTGAGGTCTTTGAATATTGTTTCAAAAGTTGTGGTCTCCCTGGTTACTGTCTCTTGCTCTATCTGACATCATCCTCATCATCATTTTTTAAAGGAAAAAAAGTCTCATTGCATCCCTGTCAGGTTTTTCCTACCACACTCATAAAATCAATCTGAGAAGCTGATGAATGCATTGAAGCTGAGGGTGGGAGCTTAATGCCAAGCTGAGCCAAGCATTGGTGCACACTTGGAGATGTTCTGGGTGTTTGCTCAAGGAGAGACTTGGGAAGAGCAGTACTTTCTTGGGAAGGACCAAGGCATCAGCCTAAGATCAGTATGGAAAGCAGATAATCTTGAGTTAAGATTTTCTGGTCTTATAAATGTCCTTTGTAGATGCCTAGAGTTTGGGGTTTTATTCATTTTGACATTTACTGTGCCTGGGATGTCTTAGACATTCAACAGTATTTGTGGATTTAATGAATTACATGGGCGTTCATTTATAAACAACTGTTTTATCTTTACGAAGGCCCGATCCTTGGCTAACCTTTCATTGTGGCTGCACAGAGTAGGCAATCTGGCATCTTAAAGAATTGGAGTGTGCTTTCCAGAGGCTGCTCTTCCCCATGGTGTGGATGTTGACCATCAGACTTAGAAGTTGGCTCTGTGTCATGCAGTAGAGCAAATGCCCCTCTCGGGAGGCATCTCTCTTCTTAAAGCAGCCACCCTCTCCTGAAACATGGGGACAATTCCTCCTCCCAGTGAGTTCATGGAACCACAGCCCCTCCTTTTTTTAGGTGTCTTAGTAGGTGATCATGCTTAGGGTAAGTGGTCGGTGGAACCTCTCCATAATTTTAACTGAGAGGAGTGCATTTCTTGTTGTGTCTGTTTTCTAGGTGAATATTTTTAAAAATAATTTAAATTTAGTTGATTAAATTTGATTCCTCTCATTCCACCTATGAAATCTCAATTATATTATAATCCCGTTGAAGTTAAGAAAAAGTCATGATGTTAGAATCAACTGATTTCAGGCTAGCTGAGAAAAGAGCTGGGTTCTAAGGTCCCATGGAATTGAGATTGGTTCCTGGGTGTTAAAATGGTTCAGCAGGTGAAGGAATGGTTTGATCTTATGGAAGGAAGGGGAACAGAGAACAGAGAATGCTGTTTGTGCCCTCATAGCCTCCTTCAGCTCGGTGGAAACGAGGGGAGAGCAGGGAATTTCAGAAGGCCAGCATTACTCAGAGTGTTTAGTTTGGGGGGAGTTTGTGGTTTTCTTGAGCTTTGACAGGACAAAAGGAGAGGACTGAAAACTGGTGGATAGAGTGGGTGCAGCATATCTGGATTGTCCAAGCTCTGTTTCTGGCTTTGCCAATGACTTACTGTATATTGTGGTAAATTATTTTGTCTTAACTGTGTATTTTTCTCTTTGAAAAAATGGGAACCTTGGTGCTTATAGTATCAACCCACCTCCTCTGGTTGTGACAATGTTACTTCGAAAAGTGGGTGGGAGATACTTCCATGAAAGGTACCATACAGATGTTATTTTAAACTGAAATTAGTCTTGAAAATTGAAATGTAACTTTGATAAAATAAAAATGTTAAGAAACCATAACATCCTGATATTCTATTCTCTAGAGATTCTGAACAAATATCAAACCTGGGTGAACTTTAGTTGGCACAAAATCTGGAGTAGGAAGTAGGAGCCAGGACAGTTGAGAATAGAACCTAGCAACTTGAACAATTAAAAAATATATACACCAAAGTTTGGAGATGACTCCAACCTCAAAACTTCTAGTAAATATGAGGTGAGTAACTCTACTCACTTAAGTCCTGTTAGATGCATCATGTCCTGTTAGAACAGACCAGCCACATTGTAACCAGGACCAATAAGTGATGAAGTGTGCTAAAATAATTTCAGGGTACAAGAAAGAGTTATTCTTTACATAAAATTGAAGGTGGTATTGTGGTACAGAATGGTTACTTATTAATGTTCAGTTTTTAGAATTAAAAAATCATGCCCATCAGGCCAAAAATGTCTTTATAAATGAAAGATTTTTCAAAAGGAATCTCTCAAAATCAGAGGACAAGTCTTCTTCCCTTCAGCATTAAGATGGTCCTGAACATTTGACCTACCTGGGCTTATGTCTATGTAGCTGAGCCAAGCATTGGTGCCCACTTAGAGAAATTTCTACCTCTGAAATCCAACTAGAATATACTCTTTGCTAGTGCTAAAGTCACCATCTCCTAAAAGATGTTCTATAGCTTATCTGCTTCATAAAAGCAAACCTTGGGAGAAAAACACACGTGCTTAGTTGGAGAAGAGAGGTTTCTTACAGCTCCTTCCCTTCTAATCTCTAAATCAGACTTTAGTAAATGAAGGTGTCGTTGCCTCAATGAGTTTGTGGGACTGGAATTTGGCAGGTGAGTTTCATCCGGCCAGCTCTATTTGAATAGCTCTGAAGAATTCAGGTGAGTGTTGCTCAGCCCCAGAACTCCATCTCACGTCCCTACCCCAGCTTACTTTTATAGTCTTAGCAGTAATTCAAGATAGCTTCAGTTTTGCAGTCAGATTTCTGGGGTTTGTTTTGATTTAGTTTTGTCCCTTCACATTTTAGATGAGAGAAATAATTTGTTATTTGTCTTTCTTGTTGGTCTTCTTTTGCTTAGTATAATCCCTTCCAGTTCCATCCTTGTTGTCAGGGATGGCAAAATTTCATCTTTTTTTTTTTAATTGAGTATTCCCTTTCTCATATAACACACATCTTTTTAATCCACTCATCTGTCATTGGGCACTTATGTTATTTCCATACCTTGGCTATTGTAAATAGTGCTGCCATGAAGATAGGAATGTGTGTACCACTTCAATATAAAGTTTTTGTGTTCTTCAGAGAGATACAAAGGTGTCTTTTAAACCTACGTATAGTCTTCTGTAGGGGAGGAGGAGAGAGTGGGGTGAGAGGGATGGAGAGAGGAGCACAGGGGACTGTGGTGATGGTACATGGGTGACTTGGGGAAGGAGATTCTATGGGGACTCAATCTGAGGGGGGTGGGGGGAAGCAAATATTGTCTAAAAAATGTAAAAAAATGATAAATGTTAAAACAAAAAATGAAAAAGACCCCCAAAAATAAATAAATAATTCTAAGTTATATAAAAAAAAATAAACCTATGTATAGTCTTAGGGCTAGATAACCATAGAGATGGTTTTTATTTAGTAAGTCAAAAGAAATCAGAAATAAAGACAGAGAAATATATATAATTAACAATGTCAATCAATAAATTAATGTTAACATCTAAAATTAGATTGTGATCATTTTAGTACATCTTTGAATATCCTAAAATATACTGAGTAATACACTTTTGAAAGGTACATTTTATGATATGTAAATTGGAGCTTAATAACATGTTTTTAAAAATCCAATTGCTTGCTATTGTAACAGTTAGTGGGGGATGGCTTTATTAAAGCATAAGATAATGATTTCCAGAAAATTCATAAAAGTATTTACACAGGCATTTCCAGCTCATCTTCCCTAAACTATTAGAGATATTTCTATCTTCCAGGTCTTTGAGGTCACTGAAGGCAAAAGGAGGTCACAATGTGAGGCAGAATTGGGAAACGCATTCCTTCTAAGTGGTAGTCTCTGGAAGCTGCTGAAAGCATATACAAGGTAAAGTAATCTGCTTGGTGAGCTACTAAAAAAAGAAGTATTTAGCCCTGGTAATCCTAGTTTACACACATAGAATCATCTCACTGACTTCTAAATGACCAGCTCTTTCTTTCTTGACCCAAAGGAACAAGAAAAGCAAAAATTGAGATCTAGAGCCATATCATTCAATAAAATCACCAACTGCTTTTCTCCCTTTTGCAGCACAAGAAATTATAAAAATGAAAAATCAATAAAAATATTGAATTGCCTGATAGTCTAATGGCTCAGACAGAGTTCAGGCATAATAGGCGTGGATGAAAACTGCCACTGCCAGGAGTACGATGGCATTGAGGTTCACAACAGTCCTCCATAGGGGCTTCTCAGATGTGTCTGTCAGCTTCTTTCTCTGGGCTTCTTTTTCCTCTTCAGTCAGCTTGGGGGCTTTCTTTGGCAGACCACAGAATAAGTCATATGTCTTCCTCAGACATCCACGAGTTTCCTCAGGCTCACCTGAAACAAAGATAAAACATGTTCATAAAACCTGGGAAAGAAGCTCCTGTCAGTGCAGCACAGATGACTGAAGAATGGCTGCAACACTTCAGTGTTAGAGGCATCCCCAGGAAAATGTAGATTAGCTTGATTATATAAAGATAGAAAACTTTTGTAGAAAACTTTTGTATAAAGCCCAATAAACAAAGACAGTGACAAACTGGGAGAAAACATTTGCATCTTATGCCAAAGAGTTTAATATCCTTCATATGTAATGGGTTTCTAAAAATAAAGAACACCAAACTATAAACAGCCCATGAAAACATACTTAAGAGATGAATCAAGAGTTCAAAGACAGACAGCCCTTAAGCTCACTCAAAAAAAAAAAAAAAGAAGAGAAATTTCTATGGTGATGATGCACAAGTGGTGGAATTGGTGGTGGAAATTCCGGGAACTACAACTGAGAAAAGAAAGCAAACATTGTACAAAAATGAACAATGATGTAAAATATATATAATAATTATTTTTTTAATGCAAAAAAAGAAATTTAAATTGAAAGTACCCTGAGATAGTCATCTATCATGACAGAAATTCCAGCTTTTTTTTTTTTAGAGCCATGTTTTATTTATTTGTTTGTTTTGTTTTTGTTTTTGTTTATACAAGCACTGGGTACAGTCAGAAGCATGGGAGGGTGAGAGAATTCACCAGAGCCAGAGCAGGGAGCAGAGCAGGCAGAGGGACCGAAGTACACTGCTGAGGGGAGCAGCGGGCGGCAGGAGAGGTCTGCACGCCATGTGGGACCCTCCTCTGGTGGCTGGGGAGCAGCCGGGGATCGAACTGACGCCGCAGAGGCCGCGGGCAGCTTCGCAACCCAGCGCTCAACCGCTGTGCCACCGAGGAGGCCCAGAAATTCCAGTTTCATGCTATATTCATGGGTCTGTGTAGAAGCAGTTACTCTTACATATTGCTTCTAGGAAGCATGAAGAGAATTTTGGCAGAATACAGTAGTATTGCAGAGGCATTCACCCATCGACCACCAGGTCAAGCTTCTCAAAATCTCCCCCAAAAGTACACTGGCAAAACAACAGAAGTACTGAACACAAGGCTCTTTGTTGCTGCATTAGAAAATAGCACAACCAGGGCCTCCCCGGTGGCGCAGTGGTTGAGCGCTGGGTTGCGAAGCTGCCCGCAGCCTCTGCGGCGCCTGTTCGATCCCCGGCTGCTCCCCAGCCACCAGAGGAGGGTCCCACATGGCGCGCAGACCTCTCCTGCCGCCCGCTGCTCCCCTCAGCAGTGTACTTCAGTCCTTCTGCCTGCTCTGCTCCCCGCTCTGGCTCTGGTGAATTCTCTCACCCCCCCGCGCTTCTGACTGTACCCAGTGCTTGTATAAACAAAACAAACAAACAAACAAACAAATAAATAACATGCCTCTATAAAAAAAATAAATAAAAAACTTAATAAAAAAAAAAGAAAATAGCACAACCAAACATAGCAAGCTGACCATAGATCTGAGACACACAGCAGAGGAGGGTAGGAAGAGTCAAAACAGGGAAGGGAAGGACAGAAGAGATGGCCCATGGATGCTATGGCGGTGGGAGAACTATGGGGACAACACCTGAGGGGAGAAATCAAATACTGTACAAAAAAGATCAATGATCTAAGAAAATAAATCTAAAAATAAAGAAAATTTAGAACATATTTCTAAACTGTGTAATAATACACACATATATTTCTCTCTTATTAAAAAAAGATTTATTTATTTATACAAGAGCTGGGGTACAGGCCAGAGGCACAGGAGGGTGAGAGGATTTACCAGAGACAGAGTGGGGAGCAGAACAGGAGGATCTACTGAAATACGCTGCTGAGGGGAGCAGCGGGTGAGAGAGGAGAGGCCTGCCATGCCATGTGGGTATCTCCCTGGCCGGCTGGGAATTGAACCTGCGCTGCAGAGGCTGCAGAAAGCTTCACAGTGCTGTGCTCAACCTGCTGCGCCACCAGGGAGGCCCCCCACATATATTTCTAAACAAAACACTTCTAATGTAAGTCTGTGAAAAAACACAATTTCTATTTATTAGAAAGAATCATGAAAATTCTATAAATTAAAAAATGAGATGAGGCAAAAGCATTACCTTGAAGGATATGTAGTTTCATTATCCATGTTAGAAGAGAGGAAAGTTCTAGTTCCAGAGCGGCAGCATAGAAAGAACCTGAATTCTGCCTACAGACAAAAGAAATCTACAACTTTATCAATGAAATCATTTACTGGAGAGAAAACTTGAAAGCCAGGTAAATAGAGCTTCTATAGCAAAGGTAGGAAAGGACCTCAAAGATGTGGAACTTTTCCTTGGGGAATAAGAGAAGGGTTGTGTCCTACATTGGGTACCCCAACCCTGTTACCCAGCTCACCAGAGACATGTGCCTGGAGCCCCAGTACTGAATTCCGGCAGGAAATTTGCCCAGGGAAATCAAAACCTTATAGGGAATGGAGAACCCTCTCTTAAAAGGTGCTTGCACAAACTCAGTTGTCCTGAGAACCAGAGCAGTAACAAAAAAATGCATGAAAAATGCATGAATCATAGGTGAAGATACAGCATCTGCTGAGAGGCAGGAAGCTTCAGGGACAATCCCTGGGTTGGAGTCACTGGCAGGCACCTTGGCAACCTTGCTAATACCAATGCTGGTGAACACCATTTGGAACACTCCCCCACAGGCTATCTGAGCCTGTGGGTGGTCCCCACTGAGAGCTCCATCCACTCCTGCAAGACCATACCAACCATACACAAGAGCCTCCAGAAAGCTGAAAAAAAATCACAAGTATGTGGGGGTTAAGCAACATGCTGTTGAAGAACTATTGGGCCAATGAAAAAATTAAAGTAGAAATTAAAAAAATCCATGGATACAAATGAAAATAAAAATACTATGTAATAAAGTCTTTGGGATGCATTGCAAGTGGTATTAAGAGAAAAATTGGTAGTAATACAATTTTATTTCACAGTTGTATCTCAAAGAACCAAGAAACAGCACAAATAACAATCCAACATTACCTCTAAAAAAACTAGAAAAGTATCAACAAAGCCAAGAAAAGGAAAATAAAAATCTGAATGGAAAGCAATGAAATAGAGATCAAAAAGATAATACTAAAGAGTGATGACACCAATTACTGGTTCTTTGAGAAAATAAACAAAATTGACAAACCTTTAGCTAGACTCACTGAGAAAAAAACTCAAATCAGAAATGAGAGAAGAAATTACAAGGATAACACAGAAAAAGATAAAGATGTATAAAAGATACTAGGAATATCTATATGCCAACGGACTGGACAGTTGGAAGAAATGCATATGTTGTTAGAACCATGAAGAAAAAAATCTGAATAGACTGGTCATTATTAAGGAAATTAAAATAGTAATAAAAACCTCCCAAGAAACACAAGTTTGGGATAGACAGCTTCATTGGTGAATTCTACCTGGTATTCAAGGAAGATATAATACATAATGTTCTCAAACTCCTCCAAAAATTGAAAAGGAGAGAACACTCTCCAACTTAATTTATGAGGCCAGCACTACCTTAATACCAAAACTAGACAAAGATTTCACAAGGAGGGAGGGAGGGAGAAAGAGAAGGAGGGAGAAAGGAAGAAAGGCAGATAAGAAAGCTAGAAACCAAAAAAAAAAAAAAAGCTAGAAACCAATATCTGATGAACATAGCTATAAAAATCATCAACAAAATATCAAAAAACAGAATTAAACATATATAAAAAGGATCACACACCATGAACAACTGGGATTTGTTCCAGGGATATAAGGATGGGCCAGTATACACAGATCAATCTATGTAATATATCATGTGAATAAAAATAAGGATAAAAATCATATGTTCATCTCAATAAATGCAGAAAAAGCATATCACAAGCTTCAGTATCCAGTTATAATAAAAGCTCTCAATAAGTGTGTATGAAAGGAATACACTTAAACATTACAAGGAAGTCTTATATGACAAATCCATAGTTAACACCATGAAAAACTAAAAGCTTTTCTATCAACATGAGGAACAAAACAAGGATGTTCACTCTCACTATAAGTAATCAACATAGTATTGGAAGTCCTAGTCAGAGTAATTAGGCAAGAGAATGAAATAAAATATATCTAAATAGGCAAGGAAGAAATAAAACTGTCACTATTTGCAGATGACATGATATTATGCATAGAAACCCCTTAAATCTGAATGAAGTAATCCTCAATTGAAGTTAGGAAAAAAACAGAATAAACCAAAATATTGTAAAAGGAAAGGTACACAAGTAAGAACAGAAAGTAATGAGGTTAAAAAGAAAAGGGTAATACTGAAGAATACAAAATCACTCATTCAAAGGTATATATACACTCCTATGATATATTCATTCATCATTATTGACAATAGCTAAATTGTAGAAATAATGTATAAGTGCCCAATGACAGGGCAGTAGATTAAGAAGATACAGTATATAATCGATGGAATATTGTTCAGTTATTTAAAAAAAAGGATGTACTCTTGTCATTTGTGACAATATGGATGAAACTGGAGTGGATTATGTTAAGTGAAATAAACCAAAAGGAGAAAGACAAATATTAGATGATTTCACGCATGTGTGGAATATAGAGAAACAGAACAAAGGAACTGACAAAACTAACGCAAACCCAACCCCAACTGAAACCAAATAATCAGTGCACCATTCAGGACAACATATACGGAAGTGCTAAACATCAGTGGTTTTAAAAATATCAGGTAAATAAAGAACCATCGGGACTGATGCTGAAGAAATAAATGTTCATGCAGGAAATGAGATTCCAATTAGTTTTGAAGAATAGGCTTTTTCCCTCTCCCTTGAAGAGCAGGTAGAACTTTTCTAGGGAGTTTAATATATGTGAGAGGAAAGGGAAGAAATCTACCCTGGCTGGAATGGAGGCTGTTGTACTGGAGAGAAGGTAAGAAATAGGTTTGTAGAAGAAGGGACTGATGTTTAATTGTAACCAATCAAGACTGACGTGTTGAACATTTAATAAGTGAGAATGAGCAGATGAGATTGATACCAATTTTCACCTCAGGACTGGAACACAGATCCATAGAGGGGTGGTGGCTAGATGGACAGACAGATTGATGGACAGGCCGAGTGTAGGCCGAGTCCAATCAGGCCGAGTCCAGATTGATGGACAGGCCGAATGGGTAGATTTCATATGTAACAAATTGTGTTATTTGTTGGGAAGGTAAGACTTTAAAGTCTGATTTTTAAGAAATTGAGTTTAGTAGTATTTTAAAAACCAATTCAGGGAGAGAGGTTCTACATGAAAATCAAATGTATATATTACCTTCATCACCATCATCATCTTCTTCTTGTCTTTTCTCATCTGCATCTAAATCAATTCGTTCTTCTGTACTGTTCCGGAGAGCCCAGCAAAGGCGATACAGCTAGCCAGAGACCACAGACCAGAATATTAGTGATAGGCAGATGTGCACATGATAGAATTGTACATTTGTTTATTGTATAGTTAAAAAAGAGAGGAAGAAACAGCACGGGAGAGTATAGGTAACCAAGAAAATGTCTCTACCACACTCATTCATGAAAATATGCCAACCAGGTATCCTATAGCAAAGTTATGGATTTACCTTCCAGTGGTGTTGTGAAGTTTTTTTTTTTTTAATGGTGAAATCCATTTCCTAATCTTTTGCTTTATTCATTGGTGCTTTGTACATATTAGGAGAAATTTGACAGGTGAATGAATGGATGACAATATCTTAAGTTCCTTCTAACTCTTGTGATACTATGATGCCATTGCTTGGGACTTGTATACCAAAAGCTTTAGAAGGCAAAGAATCCTTATTTTAAAATGAGTACAAATCTATTACTCATGGGTCCCCCTGGTGGCACAAGGAGTTGAGTCTCAGCACTATGCAGCTTTTGGCAGCCACTGCAGCATGTGTTCCATCTCCAGCCAAGGAGGTGACCCACATGGTGCAGCAGACCTCTCCTGTCTTGCCCGCTGCTCCCCTCAGCAGTGTATCTCAGTTGATCTGCCTGTTCTGCTCCCCACTCTGTCTCTGGTGAATCTGTTCACCCCCCCCCCCAAACCTCTGGCCTACACCCCAGCTCTTGCATGCATAAATAAGTAAGTCTTTAAAAAAATTTAAAAAAAAATCTATTACTCAGTACTTACATGTATATCAGGAATGGGTTTTGTTAACAGGGAAATTCCCAGGACAACTAGTGCAGAAATAGCAGAGAGAATGATAGCAAAGTACAGATAGTGCACTCCACAGATGATCTTGGGACAGTTACTGGCAGCTAAGCAACTTCCTGTTCCATAGGCAAATTCAGCAATCATACGAATAAGGCCAATCACAAGTCCGATCATTAGACCCCAGAAGGCTCCCTGCAAAAGAAACAAGAACAAAATAAAAATGATGACAAGTTCATTCAATTAAGTCATAATTATCATCTTACCTGCTTTCTCCAGTAAGGACAAACGAATGACAAACCTTGACCAAAACAAGGAAAAGTTGCACATTTATGTGTTTATTAATGGATGGTTGCTCTCTGTGGTTCTGAAACATCATTGCATTGTTGGTTCTCCAACTCTAGGACAGTGCTACTACCCTGACCCAAGCTGAAATTTACCTTGCTTTTGATTTTATATATACATGTATACACACACACATATATATGTACATATATATTAAACTTGTGATTTATTTTGTAGAATGAACATAACTGACTTATGTTACACAATTGCAGAATTGATACTAGATGATTTTGACAGCCTTGTTAGGTTTTTTTTAAGATTTATTTTATTTATGCATAAAGAGCTGGGGTGTAGGCCAGAAGTGCAGGGGTGGGGTGAGAGGACTCACCAGAAACAGAACAGGGAGCAGAACAGGCAGATTGACAGAAACACACTACTGAGGGGAGCAGGGGGCGAGACAGGAGAGGTCTGCTGTGCCATGTGGGTCACCTCCCTGGCCGAGGATCGAACTCGTGCTTCAGAGGCTGAAGATAGCTTTATAGTACTAAGACTTAACCCCTTGCATGACCAGGGAGGCCCCAGCCTTGTTAAGTTTTTGACAATTAAAAGCATTTTTTTTCCTGAGAAGTTGGTGGGTGTGGAAACATGTGTCCCTTGCTCCCCTGATTAAAATTTGTGTTTATAGATGTAAAAATCCTCAACAAAATCTTAGCAAACTGAATTCAACAATATTTAAAAGGGTCATACACTAGTGAGAATCAAGAATTGTGCTTGACCGCAACTGAAGAATGGTACAAGTAGAGTTGAAAAGATGCTTTTTGCTATCAGTGAAAGAATTTTTTTCTTACTCCAGAGGGAAAATATTTCCCAATTTTAACTCACCTGTTCATTGACTCTTTTACAGAAGATAGCAAGCAGGAAGACAACTGCAATTGGAGGTCCAAGGTAGCTAGAAATTGATTCTACATAGTGGATCAGTTGTCCATTATTAGATACCTCTACTAATGGGACCCACAGAATGCTGATGACAATTAATATAACGGTAAATATCCTGGGAAGAAAACAAAATGATTTAAAGATCAAACAAAAGTATTAATGGTACCTCTATTGTTCCTTTAGTTCTTGAATCATTCTTGAGGCCATTCATTGGTTTTCCAAATAAAATCAAGTTCCTGGGCCTTACATGAAGTCATGCCATGCATCATGGTTATCTGTAGTACAATGTCGATAAATTGTCTACAACTAGTCTGAGTATGATGCCTAGAACACAGTCAGGATTCAATAACTAACACCCTTTCTCCTTGTTATCATCACTGGAAAGCAAATCTGGACCACCCTTGCTCTCTTATCTTTACTTGTTTTCTATCTCACATGAAATAAAATCCACAGTCTTGTTTTTGCTCAAATGACCTTGCATCACCTTGCCTCTGGTCACCTGTCTGAACTTGTTTCCCCTCACTTTTCCACTGCTCTTCATGTACAAGCCTCACCTCTTGTCCTCAAACACACCACACATGTGACTGCTGTAGGAATGCAGTACTTACTGTTCCTGCCCCACACAGCCATGGAGTACACCCCCACACTCCCGCAAGGCTCTGCTGAAATGGCCCTTCCTCAGAGAGGATTTCTTGGATACCTGTCTTAAGTATCCCCCATTCTCTTATCCTGGTTTAATTTTCATTCTATCACTTTTAGTCATCTGATACATGATATATTAATTAATTGATTTTCTTCTCCATAAACTCATAAATTCCATGAATCAGAAAACAAATATGTATTTTCACATATATCTTTTTAATATTTGTAGTTTTGGAGAAAGTAGGCATTTAATAAAAGAAAGAAGAAGAATTCATTAGTTTATCATTGAGATAAATGATCATTAGTTTATCATATCTATTAGTGGATTATTATATCTTGGGCCTCCTAAATCCCACTTCAATACTTTCTCCATCACAGAAACACAGATGCCATATTGTTATTCCTCTCCTTTAATATATATCCAGTGTCAAGATCTTGACCAAGGGATTCTTGGAAATTCCCTGCCAAATGCTTAATTTATTAATGCAACTGGTTACTGTCATAAACGAAACACAATCTTAAACAGGTGGTCAGTTTCTCTTGAGCTTCCTTGATGAATACAGCTGATATATTCTCTCTAGTAGGGAGGGAGGAGAGAGTGGGGGAGGAAGCCAGATGGCGTATTGGTACAGGTGGATTATGTGGAGGGTGAGTAGAACATGTGCATATATGGAAGAGCAAAACTATAAATACCAAAATTAAAATTAAAAATTCCTCTGTAGTAGTACATATGATATACATGGAAACTTCTGGAAACAATGCATTTACTTATCAGAGCAGGTGGGAACTTTATATCCCATGAAAAAAACTAATGAGATTTTATGAAAATACAATTGGGAGAGAGTATAAGGAGAGGAATAACTAAGAGAAAACTAGAGGCATTTGGAGACATGAGAGAAAACTGAAAAAAACAACTATTTCATTTTATTGTAATGGTGCCAAGTTTTGTATCTGGAAAGAGATAAAGTTGGATTAAATGTCCTCTAAATTTCCTCCCACCAGTCTAGAACCTTATGACTAGTTTCACTTAATTCAAAGGTGACAGACTCTCATTCATATCTATACCTGCACTTTTTAAGAGAAATTTTAGACAGAAACCAGGATTCTCTCACCGTCCAGCTATAAGGAGCTCTTTTTCAGATGCCTGCTTCCGCACCTTGGTGTAGAGATCTATGGTGAAGAGGGTGCTGGCACTGTTGAAGATGGAGGTCAGGGAGCTCATGAGAGAGGCCAACATGACCGACATCATCAGACCTCGAAGTCCTGGGGCCAGAAGAAAGGGCAAGCATTGGTTATCAACTGGGTGCCATGACCTGCTGAGAACCGTGACAAACTTGAGGGTCATTCAAAGATAAGTGTCATCTGGAATATAAACTAACTTTTGTACCTATCATCACACATCATGTGGCATTTCCTGTATATGTCCTTGTGATTTTAGAATGAAGCAGGATAGGATTTTAGTTCTAAATGTAAACCTGGAGATGATTTTTTGGAACTTAAATTGGGAGGAGAGGAAACAGTGTTGTACTGTTTATCTTTGGGGAGGAATTCTTGGCTTCCTGTTGACTTAGAGAAGTGGAGAGAAAGAAGACTTGTAGGTGGCACTGCCCAGTAAGACTGGTGGGCAAAGTCAAGAGTTTTGAGATACTGTAGCAAGTTCATTCTGCAGTTCCCTCTGTCATTAATAAAGCCCCTATACCTTCTAGGACAAAGTATGCAAGGGATGGGTGGATGATATCACTTGTGGTCATGCTCCCTTCCTCCTGACAATGTGGGTAAAGGAGGAAAATGGTTACAGTGGTGATAGGTAACATTTGATAGTCAAAAGTTACCCTTGAGCCCCAGTACCTCCTCTATTTCTGTTCGTCACACATCACCTTTTCTCAGTCTAGTAATTAATTATTTCATTTATATGGTTTCTTTGCTAAGTCATGAAACTAGAAGGTGACTTCTAAAGGATAGGGGATTTTGTGCTTACTTCACAGATGTTTGCCAAGCACCAGAGCAGTGTCTGCCATGTGGAAGACACTCAATAAACAAATTTTAGTTAAGTATATGAAATTCTATTATTTGGGCATCAGTGGTCTAAAGAATAAGTAAGACAAATGGTTAATCTCTAGTGGGTTTATGATGATGGTTATACAACTCTTTTATTGACAAATAGATTACTGAAATGTTTTTCATTTGCTTTGGAAGAAAGTCTTGAATCCAAAGCAGTGAGGATTATTCTAATAGAAATTATGTCTGGTTCATCTCTATATTCCCCAGGTCCATAAGAGAGCTGGTAACTTAGGGGATGTACTCAAGAAATGTCTGATGAATATAATTGAATTGACTGTATCATAACCCTTCCTCATGACTAGACCTTGGAGGCAGTTCTGGCATGAATACTTCCCGCCAGCTTTACTGAGGTATGATTGACAAATAAAACATGTATGTATATAGGGTATACAATATGATGTCTTGATATATGTATGCACTGTGAAATTATTCCCACCTTCAAGTTAATTATCATATCCTCATCTCACGTAGCTAACATTTTCTTGTTTTGTGGTGAGAACACTTGCGATTTGTTCTCAGCAAATTTCAACTATACAGTTCAATAGTATTGACTATAGTTCTACATCAGGTCTACAGAATGTATTCATCTTATAACTTATCTCTCATTTTCCCCCAACACTCCAGCTCCTGGCAACCATCGTTTTACTCTCTGCCTCTATGAGTTTGACTTATTTAGATTCCACATATAAGTGATATCATGCAGTATTTGTCTTTCTGTGTCTGACTTATTTTACCTACTGTAGCATCCTTAAAAAAATAAGGATTTCCTTTTTTATAGGAATAATGAATATGAATAATATTCCACCATCATTCTCTTTCCATTGAGCTGAGCATGGACATTTCTTACCATTCGGCATCAGTCTCATCACCAGCATTGGGTAGGCATAGTTTGTGCAGCCAACTTCAGTGCCACAGTGTTTCACACATTCAGAAGGAACAACGCAGGCTATCTCATCTAAGGAGGGATTCAGAAAAGTGACTTCAGTAAGTTGGACCCAAATAGGTAAACTCTATAACCACTGGGCATTGAGACAAGTTAACAAGTCATGGGTAGGAAGAGACATTTGCCTGGAAGTTAGAGATTCCACTTTGAACTTTGGACCATTGATTTGTCCCTCTTTGCCCAGGAAATAAGGTCCTAAGTGCCTTACACCTGTAGCTCCCCATTAATTGACCTAAGGCAGGGTTACTCTTTGGGATGTGGCCCAGCTGCAGCATTAGAGCAAATGGAGGGAGCTAATACTACCCCGGGAAACCTGTAAGAGTCCAGGTCTCCCCTGGAGCACAGATTTCCAGAGATAAAACAACCACAACAAAAGCACTCAGAAAGTTAGTCCAATGTCCAGCTGCATTTAACACAGTTTTTTACCTACTTCTGAGAAGAGTGATCACATGGTGACTGCCCCATGTGACACGATATCTCACTTCATTGGGGCAATTACACAATACTTTGGTGACTGGGGGGGAGAGGTTAAAAATATCATAACAACAATATAGCAACAATTGATTTTTAAAAAATCACTCAGAATACTAACACCTTAGCATGTCAATTTTTTTTTAGTTTTTAAAGTTTCTTTTTAATCCTTTCCACAGAGAAATGCATCTTTTGTATCACTGTGGCAATGATATTTTTACATTTATCATAATAACTTTTTAGCATTTCCCCCAAGTCTTGAGAGTCTTCAGTCTCTTATGTACAATTTTCCATAAATAGGATATACAATAATTTCTTTAGCCATTTTCTACTTGTTGGATATCTATACATCCTTTAGAACTATAAACCACAATGCAATGTTGCAATAAGAAGTGATGTTGTCACTTGTAATCAGGGAAATGCAAATCAAAACTACCATGAGATACCATCTCACACCAGTGAGAATGGCACATATTAAAAAAACTAGCAACAACAAATGTTGGCGAGGATGTGGAGAAAAAGGAACTCTTGTGCACTGTTGGTGGGAGTGCAAACTGGTCCAACCACTATGGAGAGCTGTGTGGAGATTTCTGGACCTACTAAACATAGAGCTTCCATATGATCCAGCAATTCCACTCCTAGGTATTTACCCAAAGGACACAGAAACAGCAATTCCAAAGAGCACCTGCACTCCTATGTTTATAGCAGCACTGTTTACAATAGCTAAGCTTTGGAAACAACCCAAATGCCCAAAAATAGATGACTGGATCAAGAAGATGTGGTACATATATACCATGGAATATTACTCAGCATTCAAAAAAGATAAACACATGCAATTTGCAGCAACATGGATGGCACTGGAAGGGATCATGCTCAGCGAAATAAGCCAAAAAGAAAAAGAAAAATACCGGATGGTCTCACTCATAGCAGGAATCTAGAAAACTTAAATAAGGGACCAGGAAAATGAATATAAGAAAGTGAAAATCAAAATCAACAAAAAACTATGAACCAGAGACACTTTTTGGGGGTGGGGGGCGGGAGGGGAAGGATTGGGGTCAGAATGGGGCGTTTGCAATTGTATGGGGGAATATAAAAATAAAATTTAATATTTAAAAAAAAAAAAAAAGAAGTGATGTTGGTCACTTGATGTTCATTTTAACAGAATTTCAGTCAAATAATCTGATGCCAAGTTGGGAAAACATGAAGTGGCTCATGTTATCTATGGATTGCCACAATAAAAACCAGAGGCCCCCATTAGCCAAAAAATATTCAGTTATATTTCCTCCATTCTTTATAATAAAGAAAGAATGTTAATTTTCAATGGTAGTAGTTCCTTTCAGCTGACTCAGAAATTGAAGTACCCCAAACAATCCAATTCCAAAACAGTGAGATTTGGTACAGTTCTCTGAAGGCCCAAGACCTTTTGCATCTCAAAGACCTCATTCAGAAATGTCCTGAATTTGGACTCCCCTGGTGCCGCAGCGCTTGAGAGCTGGGCTGCGAAGCTACCTGCAGCCTCTGCAGCTCCGGGTGGATCCCTGGCCACTGGCGAGGGTCCCACATGGCATGACAGACCTCTCCTGCCATGCCCGCTGCTCCCCTCAGCACTGTATTTCATCAGTCTGCCTGTTCTGTTCCCTGCTCTGGCTCTGGTGAATTCTCTCACCCTCCCATGCTTCTGACTGTACCCAGTGCTTGTATGAATAAATAAATAAATCTTTAAAAAAAAAAAAAAGAAATGTCCTGGATTCAACCACCATGGCTCACCAAATTCACATTTCCCAGTTGTCCTCATCCTCCAATGCCTCTAGACTTACATAACAACTTCTAGACTTACTTAAATCCAAATAGGACTCACAGACTCAAATACCTACAAGGAGACAGGCATGAAGCAGGAAATAGTAAAAGAACAGTGTCAGAACGCCACACTTCTCACCCTCTGTACAAGCTGTTCTCTCTGCCTGAAATTTTACATTTACCTTCAAACATAATGGATTTTCTAGTTTATTGGGTATTTTTTGTTTTGTTCTTTTTTGTGTATATAGAAGAACTGGGGCATAGGCCAGAGGTGTGGCGGCAGAGGTGAGAGGATTCACCAGAGTCAGAGTGGGGAGCATATCAGGAATATCTACTGAAATACACTGCTAAGGGGAGCAGTGGGCGAGTTGGGAGAGGTCTGCTGCATCATGTGGGTTAGCTTCCTGGCCAGGGATGGAACTCAGGCCATAGCAGTGATAGTGCTGAGACTTAACCCCTAGGCCACCAGGGAGGCACAAAATTATCAGGTTTTAATAGAATCGTAAAGTTGCTTTCCAGAATTAAACGATTAAACACAAGAGGATTTATGGATTCAGGACTTGCCTGTGTACAGGATGCGGCTGATCATCCCAGGCATCACCATAAAGAACATGGGCAGCAGCTTCAGGTACCCACACATGACACAGGCGGCCTTCACATGAGACATGTTCTTACCTGAGAGGCAGCGCTGCACAATCACCTGCCAGGGAAACACAGCAGAGTGGTAAAGCACACAAAAGATGACTTCCAAGAAGTGGAGTACACTTTTCAGGGATTAGTGTTATGTAAGAAAATGTGTCATGGCTAGTGAAAAATAATGGACTTTGGAGTAAAATCAGATTTTGAATTCCTGCTCTTTCAAGAGGGTATCCCGTTTGTGAGTCTCAGCTTTCTCGTCTCTAAACAGGGTCATCTCATGTAGGGTATTCTGGGTGTTTGGAATACTGTGTAAGAATCTTGGTGCATAGAAGTCAACATAATCACTTCTACTAATATATGTTTATAGCTCTGGGGTTGTGCAGCAATGGCCATGTGCTCTTCCGGGTGTACAGCTGTGCCAGCTGATCGTTGCTACAAGTTGTGTGTTTAAGTTGTGCCTTTAATACTGGAGCCACTAAATAAGCCATATACTCATCAGCATTTCTCTATAGTTACAGGACAATTGTCCCCTTACTAATCAAGCCCATCACCAGAGATACTGGAGCCAAGCAGCCTTTGAAATAGAACTTGAATCATTTATCTCCAGATTTCTACAGAATATTCAGAGGACCTTGTTGAGTCATGAGTCAAATATGATTCTCCTATGAAAAGGAGTGTGTGTGATTGTATAATTTCTACTTAAGTTGTATAACCTTTTGACTAAGAATTTTCTGGCAAAGCAGTATTTCTACTGATAGTGAAATAATTTCTTGTGAGTTTTCTTCTCAAGGGCTATCAGAAAATAAGGATACCTTTGTCTGCTTAGTTCTCTTTGGAGAGAAATATATTAGGGATAGCAGCAATGTCATTTAGTGCTGGGGAAGCAGATGACATTTTTAGACAGAGGGTTAAAAGCAGACAATGGAGGGACAACACAAACAATGGGTGAGAAGTTGAGTCTGCTCCTGCAGACAGGGGGATTAAGCATCAGATGGAAGGATGAATGTGAGGCCAAGTAACTTATAGGAAGCAAGGCAAGTGGCCAGAGACAAAATATACATATTAAAGATGTTTCCAGAAATCAGTGGTGAAAGGATGCATATTGGTAGATATGTTGAAAACAATAAGTTTATAACATAGAGAAAAAGAAAACTTGGACAAAAGAAAAGCACCACCATCACAAAGGACCATTGATTCAAGATAGGTTTAAAATTATGTAATTTTAAGTTTGAAGTTGACAGATACTGTTTAGGGTAATGAAAACTCCCCAAAACAAACACAAACACAAAATCTATAAAAAACAAAAATGAAACCAAAAATACCCAGAAAGCAAAAAATAAGATCTTGCAAATTATAAACGCAAAGGCAGAAAAACTAAAAGATCAGGCTGAGGAAATCTCCTACCTAGAAAGTAGAACAAAGGCCAAGAGATGGAAGATGGGGAGAAAATACGAGGAGCCAGCTAAAGATGACCAACCTCAAAATTAGAACATCCCCAAATGAAAACAAAGTAGAATAAATAAAAGAAAGGGTCCTCCCTCCCCAAATTACCTGAGCTATCAATTATCAGATTAAACAGCCTCATAATGTCCCATCACAATGGCCAACAATGGATCTACACACAATGGTACATTGTAGTGAAGTCTCAGAACACCGAGAACAAAGGAAAGACAAGCTTCTTCCAGAGAAAAAAGATAGGCCACATCTGCAGAATTAAGAATAACTTTAGGGCCTCCCTGGTGGTGCAAGGGGTTAAGACTATGAAGATATCGGCAGCCACTACAGCATGAGTTTGGTCTCCGGCCAGGGAGCTACACACATGGCGCAGCAGACCTCTCCTGGCTCACCCCCTGCTCCCCTCAGCAGTGTATTTCAATAGAGCCTCCTGTTCTATTCCCAACTCTATGTCTGGTGAATCCTCTCACACACCCCACCTCTGGCCTGCACCCCAGTTCTTCTATGCACAAATAAATAAATCTTTAAAAAAAGAAAGAATAACTTTAGACTTCTCAACAATGATGGTGAAAGTCAGAAGAAAATTAATCTATAACTTTGGGAATATTATTTCCAACCCAGAAATGTGTTCATAGCCAAAGGATCAATTTAAGAAATTTGTAGTGAAATGTTCCCGAACATGCAAATTCACAATAAATTCATCTCCCATCTTTCTCGAGAACTTACTGAAGAATTTATTTGCCCTCAAGGAAACAGTAAACCAAGAAAGAAAGTGATGTGGAATATGGAATAGGAGGTATAACCTAAGAATGAGGCAAAGGATGTCCCAAATATGGTGGTCCTGGATTAAAATGGGCACCAAGCACAGAGAGAAAACTTACAGATAATGAGAGGGCCTGAGAGAAAAGAGTTGATGGAATGCTTGATGTATTTGCAAGTATTGAGAGGAGATTTAGGCAAATATCCACAGGGTTTGGTGTGTAATGACTAATAACAACCAAGGAAATTTAAAACAAACAAAAAAATTAACAATTACGTATTCTAGAAAAAAGGTAAAGAAAGGTAGGAGATTTCTTCAGCCTTGTCCTCTAGTTTTCCTGCCTTTGAGTTTATAACTTGCAAGATCTTATTTTTTGCTTTCTAGGTTTTTTAAAAATCTTTTTTTTTTTAAGATTTATTTATTATTTATACAAGCACTGGGTACAGTCAGAAATGCGGGAGGGTGAGAGAATTCACTAGAGCCAGAGTGGAGAACAGAACAGGCAGATTGATGAAATACACTGCTGAGGGGAGCAGCGGGCAGCAGGAGAGGTCTGTCTCGCCATGTGGAACCCTTGCCTGGCGGCTGGGGATCGAACCGGCACTGCAGAGGCTGTGGGCAGCTTTACAACCCAGCGCTCAACTGCTGAGCCACCGGGGAGGCCCACTTTCTAGGTATTTTTATAGAGAAAGCTAAAGAAAAATCGGAGGATATAATGGACTCAGCTATAATTGTGTTTATGTAGTCACAAAAATTGTGAATTAGATGTATTGAGAGGATGACAGAAGAGGAGGTGTGGGAATGAGGATGGAAAGAGCTAAATCCTCATCTCTCATTATGGAAAGCCAATAGAAAAATCCTAAAACTAGGGCCTCCCTGTGGCGCAGCGGTTGAGCGCTGGGTTGCGAAGCTGCCCACGGCCTCTGCAGCGCCGGTTCGATCCCTGGCTGCTTCCCGGCCACCGGAGGAGGGTCCCACATGGCGCACAGACCTCTCCTGCTGTGCCTGCTGCTCCCCTCAGCAGTGTGCTTCGGTCCTTCTGCCTGCTCTGCTCCCCGCTCTGGCTCTGGTGAGTTCTTTCATCCCCCCGTGCTTCTGACTGTACCCAGTGCTTGTATAAATAAATAAATAAATGCTTAATAAATAAATAAATAAATAAATAAATAAATAAATAAAATAAACGGGCTTTCTTTTAAAAAAAATCCTAAAACTAGATAAAGAAGAGTGAACAATGGAAGCATTTATTTGAATCATCTGTGGACAAGGTTTCCAAGTAAATTCTGATTTAGTGAGTCTGGAAGATATCTGAAAATGTTTATTTCTTTTTTTTTTTTAAGATTTATTTATTTATACAAGCACTGGGTACAGTCAGAAGCATGGGAGGGTGAGCGAATTCACCAGGGCCAGAGCAGGGAACACAATAGGCAGACTGACTAAATACACTGCTGAGGGGAGCAGCGGACACGGCAGGACCCTTGCCAGCCGCAGGGGATTGAACTGGTGCTGCAGAGGCTGAGGGCAGCTTTGCAGCCCAGCACTCAACCGCTGTGCCACCAGGGGAGGCCCTGAAAATGTTCATTTCTAATGACCTCCAAAAGGCCATCCATATGCCAGTGTTTCACAGACCACACATTAAGTACAAGAATTTAGAGAACAGAAATACATACCAAATTACTTAATTTGAAGAACAGAGAGGGTTTGCCTTGAATGGGTAAGAAAGACAGTAGAGAGTGGGACACCAGACAGCTATTTTTTATAACAAGTCTTATAGAAGTGTTTGACTCTTAAATTATGATGATGATGATGATGATGATGATGATGATGATGATAATGTGTATGTGTGTGTAAAATAGAAATGAGATGCTTTTCTATAAGAAAAACAACATTAACATATTCACATACCACATATGCACATACACACACAAAGGCACTTCACCTGATCTGTGCACCAGTACCACATAGCAACGAGGGTATTTCCAAATATTATTCCTGGCCATGGGATATCTCCAGTGACAGGATCTCGGAAAATGTGGAAGGAGTCCTCTTGAGGGGTGTAGCACTTGGAACTGATGGTCAGGTTGTCTCCCTCCACCACACTCGGGATGGCATTCATGTACTTCTCTGTAAAACTCTCATACCCTCCAACTTCGGCAAATGCTGAAAGGGCATTTCAAAAATGAAATGTTTCACAGAAATCTAAGACAATTGGCATTTGTAATTATTTCTTTGTGATGGAGATACCCAAGCATGTGCAATCAGTCAGATGAAATTCTCATTGTCTTTCCAGGATCCATGTCTTCCGGGAGTCCCTCCACTAGCATTGCCCAGGCTGTCAGATTTACTTTCACAAATCACATAACACAAATCACTCTTTAACTGTTTTCTTAAGGTGCTACTGAAAAATTTGGATTTAGTATTTAGCTTTGCAGTAAAAATAATACTGTTATCTAAGAGGCTGATGTCTTATATCAAACCAGAGCAGACACAAATCTGTTGAACATGAATTAACAGTAAGAATAACAGAACTAGTCATCAAAAAACCTGGCTCCACTGAAAGAGCCAGGAGGTATCGGCCTCTCTTCTTGACACAGAGCTTGGCTGGTCTGACTTATACACAGTCTGTTGTTTGCGGTACTGTACTAACTACATTATAGTAAAAAATTGGGGAGACAAGGAACAGAAATTGGAGGCACTGTTTATCTGTGGTGAGGGGATATATTGCAACTCAGTCCACTTGAGATCTGGAAAGGCTAGTTAGGCATAGAAAAGAGCCATAATGGATGAAAACCCTAGAAAGAGAAGCCCAGGCTTCTAGGGCCACTTAGTATAGGTTCAAATGATGCAACATTCATCAGAGCATCATACAATGTGTAGAGTTGAGGCTGACATTAGTTGACTTTTTCCTTAGTCATTCAACTGGGCACCAACATGTTTGTATGTACCAAACACTGAGCTGGGATTATGTGCAAAATGAATTTGCAAGGCAAGAACACAACCTAGTGGAGGGTACAGAAATAGTAGGAAATTGTTGTGATAAAGGGACCGTGGTTTGTAACAAAAATACAAAGGAGGGGCCTTCCTGGTGGCACAGGGTTAAAGGCACAGCACATCAAGCTATTGACAGTCATGGCAGCACGAGTTCCATCCCCAGCAGGCCAGGGAGCTAGCCCATATAGTGCCCGGTGGACCTCTCCTGTCTTGCTTGCTGCTCCCCTCAGCAGCGTATTTCAGTAGATCTGCCTGTTCTGCTCCCCACTCTGTCTCTAGTGAATCCTCTCACCCCCCACAACTCTGCCCTACACACCAGTTCTTGTATGCATAAATAAATAAATCTTTAAAAAAATACAAAGACTCCTAGGAGATGAGTGTTTCCCCATCTCATCCTCAGAATGGGAAAAGTGAGGCTTAAAGAGGCTGATCTGGGAAGTGCATCACTGAAGAAAACCAAAGAACCATGAACAAGAATAGCAACAATTTTCTGACTCACTAAATAGAAAGTCAGCAAGGAATTGGTACTAGTAGTTAGTTGTCTTGGAGCAGTGAAATAGAACTTTCTGCAGTGATGGAACTGTTCTATATCTGTGCTATCCAGAATGATAGTCACTAGTCATATATTGAATACTTGAAATATGGCTAGGCAAAAGTGTTCCTGACTAGAAAAACGAAGAATGGAGGCATTACACTCCTGGGCTTCAAACTATACTATAAAGCCATAATAACTTAAACAGCATGGTACTGGAACAAAAATAGACACACAGACCAATGGAAATGAGTTGAAAACACAGACATAAAGCCACACATTTGTGGACAACTAATCCATGACAAAGGAGCAAAGAATATGCACTGGAACAAGGATAGTCTTTTTAATAAACGGTGCTGGGAAAACTGGACTGCTACATACAAAAGAATGAAACTAGATTACTACCTCACATCATACACAAAGATCAACTCAAACCTGTAAAACCTGAAAGCATATAATACATAGAAGAAAACATAGGCAAAATACTCCATGACATACATCTCCAAGACATCTTTAAAGACTCATGCCCTAAAGCACAGAAAAATGAGGGAAAAGATAAATAGCTGGGACTACATCAAACTAAAAAGCTCTGTACAGCAAAAAAGACAATAACCAAGAGGAAAAGATTGGGAGAAAATATTTGTATACTCCACAAAACTGGTAAGGGTTATCAAAGATCTACAAAGAACTTACACAACTCAACAAAAACAAAATAAAGAATCCAGTCAAGGGCCTCTCTGGTGGCACAAGGGATTAAGCACCACACTATGAGGCACTCTGCAGCCTCTGCAGCATGATTTCAATCCCCAGCTGGCCAGAGAGAAACACACATGGTGAGGCAGACCTCTCCTGTCTCACCTGCTGCTCCCCTCAGCAGTGTGTTTTGGTCAGTCTGCTTGTTCTGTTTCCCTCTCTGTCTCTCGTGAATCCTCTTACTCCCCGCATCTCTGGCCTGTACCCCAGTTCTTGTATGCATAGATGAATAAATCTTTAAAAAAAAAAAAGAAGAAAGAATCCAGTCAAAAAGTGGACAGAAGAGCTGTCCACACTTCTCCAAAGAGGAAATGCTGATGGCCAACAAGCACATGAAAAAATATTCAACATCATTTATAATCAGGGAAATGTAAATCAAAACCACAATGAAATATCACCTCACACCACTAAGAATAGCCCAGATTTTAAAAACAAAAAACAAAAAACAAAAAACTAACAACAGCAAATGCTGGCAAAGATATGGAGAAAAATGAACCCTCTTATATTGCTGGTGAGAATGCAAACTGGAAAGCCATTTGAAGGACCCTCAAATTACTAAAAATGGATCTACCATATGACCCAGCAATTCCACTCTTAGGAATCTACCCAAAGGATACAAAAACAGTAATTCAGTAGGACACTCGTGCTCCTATATTCATTGTAGCACTATTTACAGTAGCTAAAACATGGAAACAAACTAAAGGCCCAAAAACTGATGACTGGATCAAGAAGATGTGGTACATATACACCATGGAATATTACCCAGCGATCAAAAAAGATAAACTCATGCCATTTGCAGCAACATGGATGGAGCTTGAAGGGATCATGGTCAGCAAAATAAGTCAGAAGGAAAAAGAAAAATATCGGATGGTTTCACTAATAGGAGGAATATAGGGAAACCATACAAGGGATGGGGGATAAAAAGACAAAACTAAAAGGCAAACTATAAATTGGAGACATTCTTCAGGGGATGATGAGGGAAAGGGATCAAAATGGGAGGGAAGATCACAAGAGTCTATAGTGGTGGTTCATAGGTGTCTTGATGGTGGTAATTTTATGGGGACAACACCTGAGAGGAGAAATCAAACATTGTACAAAAATGAACAATGATGTAAAAATATATAAATAATTAAATTAAAAAAAAATAAATATGGCGAGGCCAATGAGAAACTAAATTTTTGATTCAGTTAATCATTTTAAATTAAAATAGTCGTATGTGCCTACTGGTATCCATTTTGTATCGAAATCATCAATTATTAATGTAGTTTTTTCTTTTTGTCTTTGCAGTTCTATCAGTATCTTCATGCTCTGTGATTAAGTGCATGTATGTACAGAAATGTATTCAGTGCAGCTTGAGTGGGTAAGCATGGTGGCTGCAGGTCAGGGCTTGGATAAAAAGACATTTGTTTTCATCCTATACTTTTTATTGTGTGCATGGACTTCCTACACAAACAACCACCATAATAAAAGATAACAAAATTTAGCAAGCTGAAAATTAGATTTATCAGCGGTGCTAGCTGGTATGACTTACAAAATGTGAGCAGACTGATGATACTAATAAGAGAGAGCCATAAAGGAAAATCCAGTCTGTGTTTGTATATTAGAACAGTAGTGTGAGTAATGTATTTTAATAATTTCTATTAGAAATGGTTATAATAAAGGGAACATTCAGTCATCTAAAATTTTTCAGCATATTTAATCCTTCATTTTAGGAAGATTCTATATAACGAAGGCTTTCTGCCACTTAATCAAATGCACCAATATTTTTGTAAAATTATCATCCCATGGATACCGATTTTGTCCATTCTGAGCACAGATATTAAGATTAAACAAGATAATTTACTTGAGCAATAATTTTTAAAAGTAAGTGAAGTTCTTTTCTCTCATTTCCTCAGGCTGAGATAGTGTAGCAAGAAAGAAGTCAGACATTCATTGCAATGATGTGAATTATCTAAATGGAAAACGTGATTATATAGAACTGGAAAGTAGTGGTGAAGAGAAGGTATGTGGTAAAGACAGAAACCCCATGCTCCACAGTTATCACTTACCATACCCCGTGAGAATGACAGAACCGATCAGCATGATAATGGTCTGGAGGGTGTCTGTATAAATAACTGAGGCCAAGCCCCCTGTGGAGAGAAAGAAAAAACCAAGACATTTATCTCAGCTATTCCCCTCCACCCAAGCCCAGGAAGTGCTCAGTAAAACAAACAAAAAATCATATCAAAAACCAGGGGAGAACAAGCTCCTCTTGGCACTACTATCTCATTATTATTATTGTCTGTCATTCATCTTTCTATCTCCTTGCCTTGCCTTGACTCAAACTTTCTGTTGAATTGTAGTGGATTCTGTATTTGTGTGAGTTTTTGAATGTTAAATAAGGGAAAAGGCAAGTTTTAATATCTTGAAAGTTTCCCTCAACAATCCCTCAGTTCATCCCTTTAGCACAATACAATATGTGCTCTCCAAAACTGGACAAAACCAGTTTTGTCCTTGTATTAGGATATAACATTGTTTTGTCAATTGAATACTAGATGCAAATGACTTGAGCTTTTGCTTCAATGTTGAACAATCAGCAACAACTTCTTTTCCTATTCTAGACCCACAAGACTGTCAATCAAAAAGATACTTCATTTAGGAGAGTGTTGGGGGGGGTGGGGGCAGCCTGAAAAGACTGATCCTGAAAATGGGAGATTGATGCCTTCATCTCTTCTTAATCTAAAATATATGCTCAATGTATGAAAATGGACCCAAAACTGCCTGGATTGTGCAAGCTGTTGTTTTTCTATATATTTTTTCCAACTCAGCTGGTATAGTTTAATTTTCAAGTTAATGATGGAGGCTTAGAGTAGAAAATTTTGGATGCATGTTTCACAAGGTCAGAAACTAGAGGTGGGGGTAGAAATGATTAACATAGTCTTGAAACCAGCCATGGAAATGTGAAAAAGCCTTAGGCTGGGATGGAGATTGAGGGTCACTACAAAGGGCTGCTGATCAGAGTGGGGATACGGAGATTGAGGGGCATTACAAAGAATCACCAGTCCTTACAGATTCCCCAATCAGATCTTAGAAGTAACTGATTTAACAATAGATAAAAATTTCACAGAGAAATGAACACCTCCCCCCGAAAGGAAAGTAACATCTTAATGGCCATAGAAAGGGGAGGTTCCAGGTTTCCTGCCCCACCTAAGGATGGGGGAGCTCAGCACTGAGGGGAAGCCTAAAGGACTTTGGGAAAGAAGACTTGAGAGAAAACTTGGAGGACGCTCATGGAGCGAAAAGACTTGTGTAGAAGAAGCTGCATGTGCTTCTTGATCTTGAACTCATACCAGGGACTTAGGAGACATGGAAGGAGACACTTGAAAGAGACAGAGACATGAGTGAAAGACCCGTGGGGAGGTTGACAATGACAGCCTTTATCTTGGTTTGATTTTGCTCCTTTCCTTCCAGACTTGCCTGCCCCCTTCAGCCCCATTTCTATGGTTCCCTGCCAGAAGGTGCCTTAGATTTTTGGCAAGTTTGGGCCAACACTGTTTGGCTGGACATTTACCCATGAAGGGTAACTTTGGATGTTTCATAGAGAAACTATTTTAACTATATTCTTTCTCTTTGTTACAGGGCAGGAAGCGGGGTACCCCAGAAAAGGATCAGAAACAACCAGACAAGTCTGGAAGGAAAAGAGCAAAATCAAAATCAAGATAAAAGCTGTCATTGTTAACCTGCCCACAGGTCTCTCCCCCATGTCTGTTTCACCCAGCCCAGGACCAAAAGGCAAGCGCAGTTTCTTCACATGTCTCTCTGCACCATGTGCCTCTTCCAGGTCCCCTTCTTGCTCTCCATCCTGCTTCCTTCCTACTCTAGTCTCCTCTCCAGATTCTTCTCCTCCCTGCTCAATTCCACTCTCCTTTGGGTAGGGCAGAGGACCTGGAACCTCCCCTTTTTCCTGGGCACCACCCTGTTACAAGACCTCTGCCACATACCTCCTTCCACAACCTACCCATTGCTCCAGTTTTCCTCTCCTGATTCTGTCATTCAGAGCTTACCACCATGACCTGGCATCTTATGTTCATTTGGGTCCTGTCTTGGACTTGCCAATCTCACATCTGAACTATTATTTCATCCTAACCTTCCATGGGTATGATCTGCTGGATTCTAAATGCCGGCCTGGGTACTGAACACAGTGGAGCTAGGTCATCATTTCCCGCCCCACCCATCTCATAATTATTCCCCACTTAATCTTGAGGATTCTGCTTCCTTGCCTCTAGTGTTTCTGAGCCTATGCCTGACTTTCTAGGACTAAGGGATGTTCTCAGCTTGGCTGTCCCAAAGCTATCACTAAAGCTATTAATTGCAGGTTCGAATAGAATCAGAAGATAGCATTGCGAACGGAAAAATGGACTCACCAGTGATCGTGTACACAGCAGTGATACCCAAGAGGATGAAGATTGCCAGGTAAAGGTCCAGTCCCAGGGCCATCTTGATGAATATGGCTCCAGAAAATATGTCTGCCTAAAAAGGATGGTAAAGGCACATGAATGGTATCCCTCAGTTTCTCGCTGATGGCATGTCATCTCTGCCATCCAGTTATGAACTCCTTGGAAGCCAGGTCTCTTTCTCAGAGTTAATTCTTGGGTTGACTAGAAAGGGGAATGATGAGTGAATACATGGAAAGTGAGAAAGTCTGCACTGCAGCTTGCATAGATTTTCTTTTCATGATTGTCAGCAGAGAAACAAAAAATTGAGCAGCAGGTGGAGGCGATGGAGTCAGGCAATGGTTGTTGTTAGGAAGGCAGGTGATTGGGCATGTTGGGGGTAGTAGAGACTAGGATAAAAGATGATGGTGGGGTAATTATGAAACAAAATCCCAGAGACTTATGTAGAGATGGGATCAAGAAAAGGCACAGTATGATGGGATGGGCCTTTGACAAAAAGGGAGACTCTTCACTGTCAGAGTGGTGAGGAGATGGACAGAATGAGGTAAAGTATATTATTGAATGGGGGGAGAGAAGGATGAGTGATTTATGCTTAAATGTTTTGAATAAAGTAGGAAGTGAGCCATACTGATTAAAGGCGGAGGTCTAGGAGCTAAAAAAAAAAAAAGTTGTGGGCAGCTTAGAATAAGGATTGAAAAGACCTGGGTAAAAATCGTAAGCTACACAGACAGAACGATTATAGGTTGAGGTTTGGAGTTCAGTAGGGCATCCCACAGAGGGATATAAAGATGCAAGATGCACCCAGCTTTACTGGAGCCCTGTATCCTTACAGGGTGCTTCCCAGCCTCCCTGATATTTCTTCAGTTCAAATTTGTGTAGACCTTGCTTGGATCTGCTTCTTCAACTCAGATCCTCCAGGCTTCAAAAACCAAAATCCCAAACAGAACAAAACCCTGAGAAATAACATATAAACATGTTAGAAATACAGAAAAAAAAATCCTTAGGTTCAGGTATAGAGTAAGTGGGAAGCTGGGTTCAACCAGTGTTGAAGCTTTGCCAGGGGAGTTCAGAAAAAGGGGTGGGAGGGGTGGGTATGGATAGACAAAGCAATTGAGGCTGTGTGCTGAAGCGTGATTATACCATCCATATTATTTCCTTACAGTCTCCCAGTTTACATGGAATCTAAGCGGAAAGAAGGGATGAGTGAGGTGAAGGGAAGGGATAAGGTAACAGGATTTAGAATCAGAAAATTATAGGTAGTTTTCTTTGTAGAAATTGGATTTAGAAGAGGTGTAACAGGAAATGGTTGTTTCCCCTCCCTCGCAAGATTTGAAATAAAACCTAAGGTTTTATTCATCTGACCAGACATTCATGTTGGTTAAAAAACCTGTTCTTGATTCTCTGAACCTAGAAGCTAACCCTGTGTTACAAACAAAGTACTTTGTCATTACTGGGTTTTTTAAATACGCAACCATTGTGTGAATTGAAGGGAGATGGTACTTTTTTGAAAATTGGTTATTTACCAAAAAAAGATTTACCATTCCAGAAAAGATATCACCTACTGAGAGGTCAGTCATTGCATCTGAGTGCCATCAAACATACCTGCATTTATAGTTGTCACATTCATACTCATTGCCAATACAGGGGGGGGAGGGGAATTGTGATAGTAATTATTTAACCACAGCACTAGGATTTGTGTATCTGCGCCTAATCATTTACATGTTAAAACAAATTATCTTATTATGACTTCGTTGACTTTTGTTTCTCTTAGGTACAACTAAGGCATGAAATTGATCATTTTTGAAATGAAATCTAAGTCGCTTATATTAGCAATGATTTTTTTATAGCATTAAAACATTAACAAAAAAATTGCCATTTTAAAATGTACAATTCAACAGGATAATTATATTCATAACAATTATTAAATATAAAATATTACTGATAACAAAAAGAGGCATTGCCTGATCCAGATTTTCTTTTGCTACTGAAGGACATTAGTCTCTCGTCAGTGTGAACAAAGTCCCTAGATTACAAGCAGTTTGTTTCAAAGTTAATTTCCTTGTTTGAAAATTTGAAATGTGCTTTTTCTACAAGAATATCAATGGTTTTAAGGCATCCAGACCAAAATATTAAGGGGGAAAGGTGTGTCGTGTCTATAATGATTCTCAATATATGTATTATTGGAAGTAGGGAACCAATGAGTAAGAATATCTTTTTCAATCTGAGGGGCAAGGGAGGACTATGAAACTGTCCCAGCTCCTGAGCATGACTTGTTTAATAAGTAACCAGGGTAGAATCTGCCATCAGAGTATAAAAGATCACAAAAGGTCATGTCTAAGATTAATCACTATTAATATACTTAAAACATAATCTTTGAGGATAAGAATGGACTCCTGCCACTGTATCTTTCCAGCTGACCACAGACCCTGCACATTTGCATATGCTCTTGGCCTTCCTGCTCCCTGTTCAGGTCCCGAACATTCCATCCCCTTCCCACCACTAGGAACCTTCTACTCTATGAGGGTGCAGCCCTACTATTCTGGCCTATCACCTGTGTGTGCTCTTCAGAACCATAAAGCTGTAGATGTCAAAGCCAGGGGAGAGGAGGGAACTCATTTTGTCCCCTTCTCCCAGACACATGCAGAGCTCTGATTACCGAGGCTTCCTCCGCTCCCCTCAGCTTCTAATTGTCGTGTCCTGGGGGCTTATTTTATTCATTTATTTTTTTAAAATATATCTATTTTTTTGTCATTGTTCTACTATGCTATGTAAGTTTTGGAGTACAGCTTCACACCTTGATAAGTGTATACCCCACGCCCACTCACCACCAGAGCTCTACTGCCATTCACTGCTGCTGGGGGCTTGTTTAAATGCCCCCTCCCCTCCAGCGAGGACAACTTCCAGTTCCACCCAATAGGGATCCCAGGAATCACCTTCTTTCCTGGGAGTCCATCCATGCTATGTTTCTGTACTTGTCCTCACAGTCATATTTTAATATATTTGCACATATTGTCATCAAGTGGTATTTCAGATGTAGAGTTCTTAACCATATGGTGAACTCTTTCATGCACAAGAATCTTTTTTTAAGGATTTATTTATTTTTTTTAATTAAAGATTTATTTATTTACTTATACAAGAACCGGGGTACAGGCCAGATTTGCGGGACGGTGAGAGGATTCACCAGAGACAGAGCGAGAACAGAACAGACAGACTGACAAAATACACTGCTGAGGGAAGCAGCGGGTGAGACAGGAGAGGTCTGCTTCGTCATGTGGGATTCTCACCAGCCGGCCGGTGGGGATCAAACCCGCGCTGCAGAGGCTGTGGACAGCTTCACAGCGCAGCACTCAACCGCCTGCACCACCAGGGGAGGCCCTAAGATTTATTTATTTATGCATACAAGAACTGGGGTACAGGCCAGAGGTGTGGGGAGTGAGAGGATTCATCATCAGAGACAGAGTGGGGAACGGAACAGGCGGATTGACTGAAATACACTGCTGAGGGGAGCAAGGGATGAGACAGGATAGGTCTGTTGGACCATGTGGGTACCTCCCTGGCCAGGGATAGAACCCATGCTGCAGTGGCTGCCGATAGCTTCACAGTGCTGAGACTTAACCCGTTGCATCACCAGGGAGGCCCATACACAAGAATCTTTATTACTCCCGACACGGAACTCAACAACAGACAGAAGTGCTGGGAAATACTTAGGTTGTATCAGGAAGGCTTATGCCATTTAATCTAAGCAGCACCTTCCCAAAATGTCTCAGCTCAACAGAAGAGCAATAATGAGGGTCAACTTTTTTCATGAGCTGCCTAGACCATAGACTTGTAAGAGATTATTTCATCAGTTACCGATACATGGGGAGCAAAGATGTTTCTCTTTGTTTTCTGCATGTGCTGCTGAATCTTCAACTTCCTTTCTCCTTTCCTCAATCATCATTCTCAAAGAATGTAACTTTTTAAAAGCTTTAACATTTCTTTTAAACTTTATTGGTGACCTCTTTTGTAGGGGGTGGTCTTAGATAAAATAGAGTCAATTTAAGAAAAGGCAGTATAATAATACAAAGCCCTTTTCCTTCTGGCTCACATTTCATATAATCAAACTGAACATGAAAATAGAAGCCTATACTGGCCCCGACAAAGAGAATAAAGGGGCTATTGTGCAGTGAGGTGTCAGGCAACTGGAGAATCATCCTCTGGTCCATCACTAAAAAGCTGTTACTGAAATGAGACACTTTGTCTTTCTTTACATTATTTTTTTCACATTCTTAACAACAGGGCAGGTTTATACTCTGGTGTCTTTCAGGACACATGAGTGTTTTACTCTACGAACATGTGGCCTCTGAAGCTCCTTTTTTTCCCCATTGAAACTTGGTAGAAAGACCCAAAGTGATTTAAGACATCCACAAATTTTGACCCTATCTCTCTGCCCAGCACTCTAGCCCATCTTGTGAAACCAAGAGGTAGGAGGCATGGAACTCACTGAGATCCTCAACGCCACACAAGTGAAGAGGGTGAGGACAGAGAGGTAGATCTGGAGTCGCTTCCCACCAAACCGCTTCTTCAGGTACTCCGGCATGGTCATGATCTACAGAGACAAACATCAACAGGATTCACCTGCAGATCCCAGCACATCCCACTAAGCACCTCTGGGCAGTTAAGCACCATGCATGGCACCATGGGGACACACAGGTGAGACGGCAAGGCTGGAATCACACAATCTGGAGATCAGTTCCCAGATGCCACCTTTACTGGAAGTGTGACTTGTGGCAAATGCCAATTGTGCTGAAACTCCATTTTCTCATCTGCAAAAGTGAAGGTAGCTGTGCAATACCTGCACTCCCAAAGGCATAGCAGACACTCCACAGATATTTTGTTACTATGTTCACCAATGATAATATCATAGTCTGGCAAAAATAATTTTACTTGCAAATCATGAACCACAATGATGGTGGCATAACAAATTGGTACTTGAGCAAATTGCAAATATACATTTGAGTTTATGTTTCAGGGACCAGCATTACTGATTCCTACTTAGAGTAAACCTATCATTACTGAAAAGTGAGATCAGCTATGTGATGTGTAGCATAAAGGGGGTGGCTTTCTGGTTTTCTCATTGCAGATGGAGTTCATGATGAATGTTAAATAAATACTTATACATTATTATTGAAAACAAGAAGGGGGAACTCTTGTTGGCTCCTGAAAGATAGTAAGCCACAGGTGACCACACATGTGTGAGTTCTGTGGCTTGGATCCTGCCCCTCCAGGGAGCTGTGCTTGCCTGGAACTGGAAGGGACCCAGGGTGAACAAAGGGGGTTATATGACAACCTGCAGGGGTACTAACAAGAAGCTTGCTCTCTAGGCACCCTCACCCCAGGAATGATCTGCACTAGAGCACCACATGGTCCGAGCACCCACTATAGAAGGAAAAGATGCAGGAGCCAGGCTCAGAGAAACTGAGCAGTGCCCTGGTTGGTTGGTTGGTTGGTTGAAAGGGAGTCATAATAGCTGTGGTATGTCCTACTCCTAATTTAAAAAAGAAACTTGATAAAAATTAGAACAAAGGAAAAATACCATAAGTTGGGGAGAACATGGGAAAATGGGAAGCCTTGTAGTTATCAGCAAGCAGACAGCTGACTGCAGCCATTTCCAACAGTTATCTGGAAGCATTTAGTGGATCTGTGTAAGTCTAAGCCTGGAAATTCTGGGACAAGTGACAGTATCTAGGTTAAAAAGGAGTGAATAAATGAATGTCTTACAGATGTGCTGAGTGCACTCATGGATACTCACCCCTGACTTGATGTATATGGGGACAAAGACCCACCCAAGAATCAGCAACAGGAACAGAGACTGCAAGATATCAAGAAAAAAAAAAGCACAAAGTTAAAGAGGCTTGACTTGTGGATCTATGAATTCTGAGTGTGGAAAAAAAAAAAAAGAGATTACATGGATCCTGTCCCATTCAGTCATGTAATAATCCCAGACACCTGTGGATTTCTCTGTTTCCAAAACTCAGAAGCCAATGTTTCCTGGGGCCGAGGATATGACAATAATGGACATGGTAGGGTACAGGAGAGGACATGCAAATGAAAAGAAATAATACAAAACAAGATTCGATTGAAAAATAACATGGTGTTAACTATGCTGGGCCTCTTTCCCACCTTGGATCAACAGGCTTCACAGTGAGAGCCTGGGAGTCTACACCAGCTCCAGGGCTTTTTTTCCCTTCTAAGATAACCATTCCACTGTCTTGATGGGCTCCCTCTTGCTCAGCTGTAAGGAACTTTTTTTTTAATTTTATTTTTATATTCCCCGTACAATTGCAACCCCCTTATTTTGACCTCAATCCCTCCTTTCCCCACCCCCCATAGGGTGTCTCTGGTTCATAGTTGTTTGTTGATTTTGATTTTTTCTTTCTTATAGTTATTCTTTTTCCTGGTCCCTTATTTAGGTTTTCTAGATTCCTGCTATGAGTGAGACCATCCGGTATTTTTCTTTTTCTTTCTGGCTTATTTCGCTGAGCATGATCCCTTCCAGCGCCATCCATGTTGCTACAAATTGCATGAGTTTATCTTTTTTGATCGCTGAGTAATATTCCATGGTGTATATGTACCACATCTTCTTGATCCAGTCATCTATTTTTGGGAATTTAGGTTGTTTCCAAAGCTTAGCTATTGTAAATAGTGCTGCTATAAACATAGGGGTGCAGGTGCTCTTTGGAATTGATGTTTCTGTGTCCTTTGGGTAAATACCCAGGAGTGGGATTGCTGGATCATATGGCAGCTCCATCTTTAGCAGGTCGAGGAATCTCCACACAGCTCTCCATAGTGGTTGGACCAGTTTGCACTCCCACCAGCAGTGCAGGAGAGTTCCTTTTTCTCTACATCCTCGACAACATTTGTTGTTGCTAGTTTTTTTAATATGTGCCATTCTCACTGGTGTAAGATGGTATCTCATTGTAGTTTTGATTTGCATTTCCCTGATTGCAAGTGACGTTGAACATTTTTTCATATGCCTGGTGGCCATTTGTATTTCCTCTTTGGAGAAGTTTCTTTTTTAGCTTTTCTGCCCATTTTTTGACTGGATTATTTTCTTTGTTTTTGTTGAGTCTCATCAGTTCTTTGTAGATTTTTGTGATCAGTCTTTTATCATTAGTGTTACGTGCAAAAATGTTCTCCCAGTTGGTGGGGTGTCTCTTTGTTTTGGTTATTGTCTCTTTTGCTGTGCAGAAGCTCTTTAATTTGATGTAGTCCCAGCTGTTTATCTTTGCCTTCACTATCACTGCTTTGGGTGATGTGTCTGTAAAGATGTCTTTGAGGTGCATGGGATATGACAAGAATGTGTGGGGAGAAATGGAGAGGAGATAAGGGATCTGAACCCAGCTTGGTCTCTGGAAGCTCATATAATCTTTACCCAATGAGATTATTCTTGGATGGCAGGAAATTTATACAGTGCAAAGCAATGAGAAAGAAATTTGGGGACAGAAGAATATTCCCAGTGCTTCCCAAGTCTTGCCACAAATAATAGTATAATCAGCATTATGCACTAACATGCAGTGTTAACAGTCTTCACACATATCACTCATCTGTTCTCAGAACAACCAGGTGAGGCAGATATGGTAGGCACAGTTATTCCTCTTATATGGGGGGGAGGCGCGAGGAGACATGTAACTTGAACATCATAGAGATTAAGGGAGCCCAAGGTCACAGGTTAACAGAGCCAGGCTCTCAGCTGCCTGACAATCACACCCATGGGTTCATAGGGCACTTTGTCCATACCATTGGAGGCTGGCCCCATTCTGGAATCCCTGACACTACAAAAGCAAAACTAGGGGCAAAATCATCAACAGGGGAGTGGCATGGGCATTTGTGATGACTAAGGTCACATCTCAAGTCTATTTACACTTTCACTATAATCCAGCTTTCTTCCACGTGTACATCTCTTGCTGACTGATAGACATGCCTATACTTGTGCAAACACTAGCAAGAAAAAAGAGCAGGAAAAACTCTGGCAACTCCAGAAGTACTTATGGCACATTCGCCACATGCCCAGCCAGGTGCTGGAGAGGGGGCAGCATGAGTGCATGAGAGGTGATGGCTCCTGTCTTAAGAACCGAGGGTCTCCTTAAGGGACCTGGCTTCTATGGTGAAATGGCAGTAGAACAGCTAGGAGCTCAATCACAAAGCAGTGTAGGGCCTACCTGCTATCACTAATTAATTCACTCCTTACTCTGGTATTATTTCCTGGGCCTCTCTTCCCTGGTATCAGCACCAGGAAGGTCCCTCACCTGTGCCATCTCCCACCTCCATCATCTATAACGGCTGCCCCTGTAGTGTGAGAGCTGGCACGTTTCTCTCCATGTACACTGCTGTGGATGCGTCTGTATCTTTATATCTGTCTCTCCCACTGGGATATAAGCTTCTCAAAAGGAGAGACCGGGAGGGGGCGGAGCAACATGGCGGCGAGGAGACGCTGCGAGTAAGATCTCCCATTAAAAAAAGTGAATAGGGAGGAAAAGCGGCAGGTCCCAGTGAGAACTGGGACACGGAAGATAAACGGGTGACTCCAGCAAACTGCCCGAAGAAGAAAGTGGCCATAAAAGAGGACTAGAAGGGAGGGAAGCGCAGAACCCTGCTCCCCTCCCCCGCCCACAGAGGCGGCACTCTCCGACCGGCAGAGAGGAGGAAACAACAAACCAAAACGGCCCACAAGAACAAACGACGCAGCAAGCGGGACTGTGAGTGGAAAGGAACTATTGCAGCCACCACACCCCGTGAACGGGAGCTGAGGCGAACCCTGCAGGATCCGCCGCGGCGGTGAGCGAACGGCTCCTGGCGCCATTAGAGAAGAACAAAGACCCCGGGAGACGCGCACACAGCCCAGGCTGCCCGTAAGCTGGCGCGGAAACGCGGCGCGCTCGGGGAGCTTGAAAAGCAAGTGCAGACCTGGATCGCGGCTGCCCAGGTCCCCGCGCCTGCGACCTAGGCTTGCGGGGAGACGCACGGAGGTCCTCACTGAGGTGAAGGTCCCTCCCTGAGTGAGCAGGAACCAGGCGCCCAGGCACGGGAGCTGTGCAAAAGGCGCCATTCCCGCGCCACTGAACTGGGCTACAGCCCGCGTCCTGGAACTGAGGGCTTTGAACTGAGACCCGGGGCACGAAAATTCGGGGCGTGGGTTCTCCACGACGGTGGGGCACAAGGCAGACACAGCACCCCAAAGCTGTTGAGGTGTACCCTACCATTCCCGCTCTGTTCTCTGTCCCACGGGGTGGGGGGAGGCGAAAAACAGCCCCCCAAGGACAATAGGAGAGATCTCTGGCGCCACCTAGCGACCAGGAAAAAAAAAGTCACTAACACCCTATAAAACAGGACATTTCTTAAGACTGCTTGAAAAGGGCAGAAGGTTTCTGGAGGACCCAGTGGCCAGCCGGGAAGTTATTCCACGCCAGGCCCCTTCCGACCAGCAGTCTGAGCCCACAGAGGGAGCAGGCACCCACGTCCGGGGCAGACCGGGTGCGCAGAAGAGTGTGCCTGAAACCGGAGGCGCAGGGACTGCATCCCACTTCGCCATTTGAGAACAGGGACATTTCTTCAGTAAAAACTGCCTAAAACCAGCAGAAAGCTCCCCCAGAAGACAGAGATGGCTCCTGGAAGAGCCAGAGGGGAGCGGAGAAGTTCACCCAAGATGTCAGTCAGTCCGAGCAACACAGTGTCCCAACGCATACGACAAATTAGAAAACAGACAGTAGGGAGTAGAAGAACCACACGCAACCTAAAAACTCCTCAGGAAAGAAGCACACCACAAAAAGAAACCACTCCCCAGATTGCAACGACAGCAACTTGGAAGAACTTCTGAGCCTTCCAGAAAGAGAATTTAAAATTGCCATGATTAAAAAAGTGATAGATCAGAAGAAGGAAATTGAGTCCCTAAAGAGGGAAGTAAGAGAAATGCAGGAGATCAAAGAATTAATGGAGGAACTAAAGAACTCTGGGAAAAGCAATGAAAGCAGAATAGATGAAATGGAAGAACGAATAAGTAATCTTGAAGACACAGAAATAAAAAGAACCAAAACAGAAAAGGAAAGAGAAGTACGAAGGAAAAAGAATGAAGAAAGACTTCGGGAACTATCTGACTCCATGAGGAAAGGAAATATAAGAGTTATAGGAATTCCAGAAGGAGAGGAGAGAGATGTAGGAACAGAGAAAATATTCATGGATATAATTGAAGAGAACTTCCAAATGAGAAGAAGGAGCTGAAAATTGATATACAAGAAGCAAGAAGAACACCAAACTTCCATGACGAAAGGAAAAACACAGCAAGACACATAATAGTAAAGCTCCAAGAATCCAGGACAAGGAAAAAATAATGAAGCTGACAAGAGGGAAGAAACAGATAACATTCAAAGGAAAACCAATCAGGCTGACATCAGACTTCTCTGAAGAAACACTACGGGCAAGGAGAGAGTGGAGGGACATAGTCAACAGACTCCAAGAAAACAGATGCCAACCAAGAATACTCTATCCCGCAAGCTCTCTTTCCTCCATGAAGAAAGAATATGGACCTTCCCAGACAAAGAGAAACTCCGGAATTTCATTGCGACTAAACCCCCACTCCAAAAAATACTACAAGGAATCCTAAAGCCAGAACCTCAGAGGGACGAATAACAACGAAAGAAGACAAAAAAGAAAAAAAAAAAGTTATTAAAAGATAAATAAATAAAGGAAGACAAACATAATGGCAAATACAGATGCTAACATATCAATATTAACTCTAAATGTAAATGGACTAAACTCTTCAATAAAAGACACAGAGTTGCAGCCTGGATTAAGAAACAAAACCCAACCTTTTGCTGTCTCCAGGAAACACATTTAGCTACAAAAGATAAAAATAGGCTCAAAGTCAAAGGATGGAAAACAATCCTACAAGCAAATGGGCCAAAAAAGAAAGCAGGAACAGCTATACTTATATCAGATAAAACAGACTTCAAACTCAAAAAAATAAAAAGAGACCCCAATGGTCACTACATTATGATTAAGGGGACAATACTTCAAGAAGAAATAACACTCATTAACATATACTCACCAAACGAAAGAGCACCAAAATATATCAGACAACTGTTGTCCTCTCTGAAAACAGACATCAGAGAAAACACATATGTAGTGGGAGACTTCAACACACCACTATCAACAATGGATAGATCAACAAGACAAAAATAAGTAAAGAAACTAAAGCTCTAAATAAGGACCTAGAGCATTTGGGCTTAACAGACATCTATAGAACACTAAACCCAAAAAAAACGGAGTACACATTTTTCTCAAGCGCACACGGATCATTCTCCAGGATCGATCACATACTGGGGCACAAGACAAACATCAACAGATACACCAAGATTGAAATCATACCAACCATCTTTTCTGACCACGAAGGCATCAAACTAGAAATAAATCAAAAAGAAGGCAAGGAACTATCCTACCTCATGGAGATTAAAAGCCACACTACTGGAAGACCACTGGACTAACGAGGAGATCAAAGAAGAAATTAAAAAATTCTTTGAATTGAATGACAAGGAGGACACCAATATCCTAAATGTATGGGATGCAGCAAAAGCAGTAATAAGAGGAAAATATATAGCAATAGAAGCTCACATCAAAAAACAAGAAAGAACTCAAAGAAACAACCTAATCTCGAAGCTCAAAGATCTAGAAAAAGAACAACAAAAAAACCCCAGAACCAGTAGAAGAAAAGAAATAATAAAAACCAAAGCAGAAATAAATGAAATTGAAACTAAAAAAACAATCCAAAAGATCAATGAAACCAAGAGCTGGTTCTTTGAAAAATAAATAAAATAGACAAACCCTAGCCAGGCTCACAAAGGAAAAAAGGGAGAAAGCACAAATACACAGAATCATAAATGAAAGAGGAGAAATCACAACGGACACAGCAGAAATCAAAAGAATAATCAGCAACTACTATGAACAGTTATATGGAAACAAGTTCAACAATCTAGAGGAGATGGACAAATTCCTACAACTCTACAATCACCCAAAGCTAGATAAAGAAGAAATAGAACACCTAAACAGACCAATTACAAGCAGCGAAATTGAAATGGTAATTAAAAACCTCCCCAAAAACAAAAGCCCAGGGCCTGATGGATTTACAAATGAATTCTACCAAACATTCAGAGACGAATTAGTGCCTATCCTTCACAAACTCTTCCAAAAAATTGAGAAGGAAGGGACAATACCAAACACGTTCTATGAAGCCAATATTACACTAATACCAAAACCGAATAAGGACAACACAAAAAAGGAAAACTATAGGCCAATCTCCCTAATGAACACTGATGCAAAAATCCTCAATAAAATTTTAGCTATCAGAATCCAACAATGTATCCATAAGATAATTCACCACGACCAAGTTGGATTCATTCCAGGGGCACAAGGATGGTTTAACATCCGAAAATCAATCAACGTTATCCAACACATCAACAAAAAGAAATATAAAAACCATATGATAATATCAATAGATGCTGAGAAAGCTTTCGACAAAGTGCAACACCCATTCATGATAAAAGCCCTTGAAATTCTTGGGATACAAGGAACATACCTCAACATCATAAAGGCCATCTATGACAAGCCAACAGCCAGTATCATTCTCAATGGTGAAAAGCTGAAAGCAATTCCATTAAGATCTGGAACAAGACAAGGATGTCCACTCTCACCACTGCTTTTCAATATAATACTGGAAGTCCTAGCCAGAGCAATAAGACAAGAGAAAGACATCCAAGGAATCCAAATAGGAAAAGAAGAAGTCAAACTATCACTATTTGCAGATGATATGATAATATACATAGAGAACCCCAAAATCTCCACAGAAAAACTAATTCAACTCATCAATCAATTCAGTAAAGTGGCAGGATACAAAATCAACACGCAAAAGTCAGTAGCCTTCCTATACACAAACAATAAATCTGAAGAAGAAGAAATCAAAAAAACCACCCCTTTTATTATCGAAACAAAAAAAATCAAATATTTGGGAATAAATCTAACAAAAGAGGTAAAGGACCTATACAAAGAAAACTATAAAACACTGTTAAAAGAAATAGAAGAAGACACAAAGAAATGGAAAGACATCCCCTGCTCATGGATTGGAAGAATAAACATTATTAAAATGGCCATCCTACCAAAAGCAATATACAGATTCAATGCTATTCCAATCAAAATCTCAATGGCATTCTTCAAAGAAATAGAACAATTATTGATGAAATTCATATGGAATCACCAAAAACCCCGAATAGCCAAAGCTCTACTGAAAAAAAAAGAAGGAAATGGAGGCATCACACTCCCAGACTTCAACTATACTACAAAGCCATAATCATCAAAACTGCATGGTATTGGAACAAGAACAGACATACAGACCAATGGAATCGAATAGAAAATCCAGAAATAAACCCACAGATTTATGGTCAACTAATCTTTGACAAAGGAGCAAAGACTATGCATTGGAGCAAAGAAAGTTTGTTCAATAAATGGTGCTGGGAAAACTGGGTCGCTACATGCAAAAGAATGAAGCTTGACCACTACCTCACACCATACACAAAAATCAACTCAAAATGGATTAAAGAACTAGACATAAGACCTGAAACCATAAAATACATAGAAGGAAATATAGGCGAAACACTACGTGATTTGCACATCAAAGACATCTTTACAGACACATCACCCAAAGCAGTGATAGTGAAGAGAAAGATAAACAGCTGGGACTACATCAAATTAAAGAGCTTCTGCACAGCAAAAGAGACAATAACAAAAACAAAGAGAAACCCCACCAACTGGGAGAACATTTTTGCACCCAACACTAATGATAAAGGACTGATCACAAAAATCTGCAAAGAGCTGATGAGACTCAGCAACAACAAAGAAAATAATCCAGTCAAAAAATGGGCAGAAGAGCTAAAAAGAAACTTCTCTGAAGAGGAAATGCAAATGGCCAACAGACATATGAAAAAATGTTCAACATCACTTGTAATCAGGGAAATGCAAATCAAAACTACCATGAGATACCATCTCACACCAGTGAGAATGGCACATATTAAAAAAACTAGCAACAACAAATGTTGGCGAGGATGTGGAGAAAAAGGAACTCTTGTGCACTGTTGGTGGGAGTGCAAACTGGTCCAACCACTATGGAGAGCTGTGTGGAGATTTCTGGACCTACTAAACATAGAGCTTCCATATGATCCAGCAATTCCACTCCTAGGTATTTACCCAAAGGACACAGAAACATCAATTCCAAAGAGCACCTGCACTCCTATGTTTATAGCAGCACTGTTTACAATAGCTAAGCTTTGGAAACAACCCAAATGCCCAAAAATAGATGACTGGATCAAGAAGATGTGGTACATATATACCATGGAATATTACTCAGCATTCAAAAAAGATAAACACATGCAATTTGCAGCAACATGGATGGCACTGGAAGGGATCATGCTCAGCGAAATAAGCCAAAAAGAAAAAGAAAAATACCGGATGGTCTCACTCATAGCAGGAATCTAGAAAACTTAAATAAGGGACCAGGAAAATGAATATAAGAAAGTGAAAATCAAAATCAACAAAAAACTATGAACCAGAGACACCTTTTGGGGGGTGGGGGCGGGAGGGGAAGGATTGGGGTCAGAATGGGGCGTTTGCAATTGTATGGGGGAATATAAAAATAAAATTTAATATTTAAAAAAAAAAAAAAAAAAAAAAAAAGGAGAGACCATTGCTTTTATTTTTTGTAGAAGAACTGGGGTATAGGTCAGAGGTGTGGGGGGTTAAAGGATTTATTGGAGACAGAGTGGGGAGCAGAACAAACAGGTGGATCTACTGAAATACACTGCTAAGGGGAGCAGCGGGTGAGACAGGAGAGGTCTGCTGTGCCATCTGTGGGTTAACTCCCTGACAAGGGATCGAACTCAGGTCTTTGGGGTGATAGTGCTGAGACGTAGCCCCTAGGCCACTAGGAGGCTCTTAGAGACCTTTGCTTTTATAGATATATTTTTTATTCCCTGCATCTAATTCAGGGCTGGACACTCTGTGTCATAGGTCAAGGCAGAGAGATAGAAATGAGAGCTAAAATAATCAAAGAGGTCAAGTGAAAGTGTGGATTGACTGACATAGAAATTACATTCCTAGTGGGAATAGCTGCTTGAAGGAAATCTCAGAGGTGAGTGATAATGTGACTGGAATAGCCCAGGCCGAATGGGACCACACAGGGAAGACTCTGAAGGTCAAACAAGGATGGGTTAGGGAAGGAAACATCTCCTACAGACTGCCATGAAAACATGTCTGGATAGAGTTTTGATTTTAAGGAAGAAGCCTCTGATGTCACTTACATTCCATTCAAATGTTACAGTGGCGACTCCTGTAGCTGCTCCAGTCCCAGCCAGGCCCACGAAGTGGCCACTGCCGATGTTACTGGCAAAGAGCGAGGCGCCCATCTGGAATCCACAAGAACAGACATGAGGATCAGAGGTAGAACCAAGTCACACTTATTGAAAAGAGGTAAACGTTGCGCTGTTTCCATCACCACTCCTCAAGGCAGCCGTTAGCAAACTGTAGCACATGGAGTAAATCTAGCGAGTCACCAGTTTTTGTATAGTTGTTAGCTAAGAAGGTTTTATATTTTTATTGTTTAGGAAAGGGTTAAAAAGCTTATGAATAATGAGCTTGTGACATGCAAGTTGTGTGAAATTCAAATTTCAGTATCAAGCAGTTTCATTGGAACACAGCTACACTCGTTGGTTTTCTATATTGTCTGTGGCTGCTTCTGTGAAACAATGCTGGGATTGTGTGTTGCAACAAATTGCATGGCCCATAAACTCTAAAATGCTTATAATTTGATCCTTGTTGGAAAAACAGACTGACCCCTGCCTTAGGACGCCAGGCTCACTACCTGCATGCTCTGAGTTGAGACTGTCCAGACCTCCACCTGCTCCTTCAGTCAGCCTCAAGGCACCAGAACTCAGTAGGAGGGATCCCTTCTATCCTTCTAGCCCTAAGGACCCTCTTCTCATCCATGTCCCTTCCCATCACGTTGTCTACTGCTCTGAAGTCACTGATATCAAGAGAGATCTCTTGAGCAGGTATGATCAGCACTTGTTCTAACAGAACAGAATTGGGGTGTGGAGTCCCCTAATCTCCTGTTCCCAACTTTTCAGTCCTCTCTAAAATCACCTTTTCCCTCAGACATTGGGGCAGGCAGGGACAGGAGAGTGAGCTGATGTGTGGCTGTCATATTGGTTAAGACTTGATGGTTTACGAGAATGGTCCTACAAAGGCAGTGCCACATTGGACATTCCAAATAGCAACCCACCTCAAGCTTGCAGTGCTCTGCTTCAACCACCCAGGCCATTTCCCAGTTTCCACTTCCCTTTATACTATTTGGTCAGCATAAATCTGGGAAGGTAGCATATACTGAGCACCCACTGTATACTTCACCTGGTGCTGACACTAGATTCAGAGAGGATGCTCAACTCTGCTGCAGTGGGACTGACCAGTGAGGCCAGACATCAGCACCCAGCAAGGAAGACATCACTTGGACAAGAGTGCGAGACAGGAGCATCAACAGCATGGCGGGGAACACTCAAGCCATTATCATAACTGCTGAGAACAAAGGACTAGACCTTCAGTCAAAGGCGGGAGTGCTCTGGGAGGCTTGTCAGAGGAAGCAGGTCATGTGCTGGGTGCTGAAGTAGAACAGACAGGGGGAGCTGGTCCAAACAAAGGAAGAATCAGCTGAGGATTGAGAACAAAGGAATGTGCTGAGTTGCATAGGAGCCAAAGTTTCTTGAATAAGGACCAGAGAGAAAGAATATGAAACAGGGCTGGGTCTTCTTAAATGCCAGGCTAGAGGGTTCTCAGTCATTTACTGGAATGATAAGGCAGAGCCCTGGGGGCAGGGATTAGGAAAAAGTGATACCAGCAAGTAGGCAAACGAAACAGCAGAAGTTGTCCTCATTCCCCACGTTTTCTTTATTTACTCTTAAACGCATGCAGGAAATATAGCTCCAGGAAATGCTGATTACTCACCGTCCACCAGACCATGTCTCGGCCAGCCAGAAAGAAGCCACCAACAGTGCCTCGGTTGGTCCTCACCATCGCCTGCGCAGAAGGAAATCAAGTGAGTGGGTGAGTGTCAATTCGCAGCAAATATACCCAAAATACCTCAGATACTGATGGAAATGACCTTTCCCAGCATTCCTAAAGAACCATTTTCCTGCAAACTCTGGTATAGCACTGTTTCCCAGAAACCTGGGAACCCTTTGGAAATCATCTTCCTCAACTTCTGTCTTATCTGTTCTGTTTATTTTCATATGTGAAAGCAAAATGAAGTGTCACAAGAGCTGTGCTTGGAAGAAAATTTGCAGCCTCACACTTATTAGTAAAAACAAAAAAAGAACAAAGAAACTGAAGGAGGCAGGCAACTCTCCGTGAGGAAGTGAGCAAACAACAAAGGAAAATGAAAGACATGAGATAATAAAAATGTCATCTTTCTTTATTATGCCAGGTGCTAGAGGTGCCAAAACAGAGTAACTCTGAGGTTCCTACTCCTGGCTCTGTTGAAACAATGGGGTTTTTAGAAATAAATTAATTTCATGTTAGCATTATTTCTGTATACACAAGAAAATGATTCTGAGAGGACTATGAAGCCTGTGACAACCATTAATGTTCCTTTAGCTTTGTCACCCCATATCATCTTCTCCCTGAGATGTTTCACCCCCAAGTCTTGCACCCGTCCTAAAAGCCCCCTTGGAAATCTACATACCCATAGCCCGACGATCATCACCACAATGAAATAGATGACAATAACAGAGATATCAGCAGGGTTTCGGAGGAGATCTGATATCTGTGAAGTACCTGAGGGCCCCATTGTGGGGTCAGGGCTTGACGTGCTGGCCATGGCTACAGGTGATGCTTTCCCCAGCCCATGCCTGGCCTTTCCTTTCTATATAAGCTCTGGGTTAATGATCAGCCTCAGGCAGGTGGGGCACCCACTCAGTGTTCCTCCCCCTTTCAAGAAGATGTACCTGCAACACCATTGCATACTATTTTGATTACTATAGTTTTGTAACATAGTTTGAAATTAAGAACATGATGTCTCAAACTTTGTTCTTTCTCAAGATCGTGTTGACCATTCAGGGTTTTCTATTCTTCCATACAAAGTTTAGGATTGTTCTGTTTCTGTGAAAAATGTAATTGTAATTTTGATAGAGCTTGCTTTAAATCTATAAATTTCTTTGGGGAATATGGATATTTTAATAATATTAGTTCTTCTAACCCATGGGCATGAAATATCTGTCCATTTAGTTTTGCCTTCTTTAATAGTTTTCATCATTGTTTTATAGTTTTCAGTGAACAAGTTGTTTTTCTCCTGGCTAAAGTCATTTGCAGTTTTTTAAATCCCTTTTATGCAATGGTAAATGGGATTGTTTTCCTAATTGTGCTTTCTGATGTCTCATTACTAGTGCATAGAAATACAACAAATTTTGTATACTGATTTTGCATTCTCCACCTTTATTAGGGGTTGAGTCTAGGGTTTTCTAAATATAAAATCAAGTCATTTATGGTGGATGTGTTATAATATACATGGAAAGAGATGTGAACCTATGCCCCCAAATTAATAGGCAATACTGTAAGCTATTGTTACCTCAATAAAAATAACACAATTGAAAACATAAAATCATGTCATCTGCAAATGATGACTTTACTTCTTCCTTCCAATTTGGAACCCTAGAATACAAATATATTTCTACCCAATGTTGTTCCATAAGATCTTTACACTATTTTCACACATTATTATCATTTTTTAAATGTCGTAGTTGTGTTTGTGTAAATTCCAATCCCTATCTTCTAGTTCACGCATCCATCCTTCTGCTTCATCTGACCTGCTGTTGAGTGCTTCTGTGTATTTTCAGCTCTGTGGCTTCTGTTTGATATTTTCTTATATTTTATCTTGGCTGAAATTTTCACTGTGTAAATTCATTCTTCTCCTGAGGTCAGTGAGAATCTTTATGACCCTTACTTTGAGCTCTTTATCAGGCATATTACTTATATCTGCTTCATTAAGGTCTTTTTCTGAGGTTTTTTCTTGTTATGTTGGAAACATATTATTATTATTATTCTGTTTCCTCACCTCTCAGCAATTGTTTCTATGTAGTAAGTGAAACGGCTACCTCTCCTGTCTTGAAGGAGTGGCCTTGTGTAGAAGATAAACCTTATCCTTTAACTTTGCCCTTGCTCTTGGTTGTCCAACCTTTGTGATGGTCTAAGCAACCTTATTTATTCTTAGTAGGTCCCAGATATTAAAGGTGTGCCAAGACCTGTCACTCTCCCAAAGGAAGTGATATCAGCTAGCACCTAGTTTTAGGTCAATTGAAAGCCAGATTCTTAGGCAGCAGTTTTTAATGTGTGCAAATATACAAGTCCTGTGGAGCCACAATTGTATACCCTGATACCCTCCAGGCCAGGTGATCTGGAAGTGTCCTTTCAGTGACAGTTGCAGGAGTTGGGGCTCCAGGCGAGTGTAAACTCTTTCTGGAAGAGCTATGGCAAGGTCACAGGAGAGTGCAAGGTTGATAGCTCTATGTACCCTGAGAGCATCTCAGAGCTTCTAGTTGTGTTGTAAACCTGAAGCCTGTTTTCCAGATTAAAGCTCCAGCACAAGAAAGAAAATTTTCTTGATTGCTGTTAACCTTTACCTGTTTTCCACATAGTTGATTTTCTTGAGCTTCTTGGTTGATTTTTCAGTATTTCTGTGGAGGGAGAATGAAAGCTTGAAGAGTCTCAGTCCACCATTTAATGTACTATCTCATTTTTGTAATAAAATTCCTGAGAGTGAGGTACCTCATTAGATGATCAGTGTTCACCCTCCCTGCTCTCTCAGAGAACATGTCCTGGGTAAAACATTCATTCATATCTGCCCTTTTCTTTGTGCTACAAGCAAAATCTGTGTGCGTTTCTGACCATGTAAGTTCAGGACAAAGGGCAAAACTGATGAAACAGAAACCTCAATAGGAACCAAGTGAGAAATCTAACAAGTCCCGAGTTAGGAGAAAAGGCATAGAGTGAAATTACCTACACCTTAATGTAACATCCAAGAAGGTCCTGCCAAGCTCTCTCTCATTAAGAACCAAGTTTTAAACTTGTTCTCAGAATAAAGGAAGAAAATATGACTTTGTAGAGACCCCTGTGAACCTGGGGTCCAAAACTCTCATTGATCATGAGGAAATCCACAAGGAGAAGGGGCCTTGGTAAACTCCCACAAAAGGTGACCTGTTTATAACTTTTCTTTACTGAATAAATTAACACAAACCAACCCACCAAGCAAAAGGCTTCCTTCAGATCATTTCTCTTCCTGTGTAAGGAGCTTCTGCTGGACATTACATTCTCTTCTACCTATGACCTTGGGGTCTTGACCTTCTGAGTTCCCACCTCATTCTGTGGGCAAGTGGAGGCACAAGGTACCTTTCCTGCTTCCTGAAGTTTTTCCTCCTCCAGGCCCCAGGATTTTAGACTCTGTAGTTCCTGCAGCCATGCTGGCATGTACTGTCACCTCAGGGCAAGGGGCAGAAGGAAGAGGAGGGATTCTGGACAGGAGGGCATCTTTGAGACCTGTGTGTTCACAGTTCCTGGATGTTGACAGGACAAAGCAAATTTTGTGTCCTCCAAAAGCGTGTGAGTTCTCCCGGTTCCTCTGGGAAATCTATATATAATAGTTGTTTTGACATGTTTTTGCAGATGTGTGAGACTTGATTAGTTTAAGTTGCATCCTATGTCCTTATCTCCTGCTGCAGTCACAACCACCGTCTGTGTCACTAGTCCTGTCACCGGCATATCCTTAAATGATCGTTTAGAGAACGAAGACTTAAGAATTACAAAAAGACCCATTTTCATACTTTTCCTGTAGAGGGAGTAAACAGCGCGCCTGCGACCCTGATTTTTTCAACACTTCACCATTTCTGTTTCCATTCGATGCAAACATGTTCTATAAATCAACAAAAACCAAAAACCAGATACATCACTTCCTTTGCTATGTTTGGTGCCCTCTCAGATGTTTCCAGTGAGGTTGATTTTGCAACCCCAGCACTAACGAGAGTTGGGCGAGATCATTCTTTGTGGTGGGAAGTTGTGCGATGCACGCCAAGATGTTCAGCTGCACCCCTGGTCTCTATCCACTAGATGGCACTAGCAAGCCTTCCCTTGCTCTCCCCTCGCCCACCCCCAATTCCAGTGAGACAACCAAAAAATGTCCCTTATCATTGCCCAAAGTCCTATAGGGGCCAAAATCACCCTTCGTTTAAAATTATTGATACAATCATCTAAACCTACCTACAAACTTAATTTATTTCTCTTCTTTCTCACCACCAGATCCATGTGCTTACAGCCCGGTAGATTCTGCTCCTAATTATATGCTGAACAACTCACCTCCTCTTGATTTCCGTGCCATGAACACTTTCACACAACCATAATTGCTACTAGCTGGATTTCTCTAATTTATGTCATTTTTTAAAGATTTATTTTATTTATTTATGCATATGAGAACTGGGGTACAGGCCAGAGGTGGGGGTGGTAAGAGGATTCAGTGGGGAGCAGAACAGTCAGATCTACTGAAATACACTGAGTAGCGTGGCAGGTGGGGGTGGGGGACAGGAGAGGTCTGCTGCGCCATGGAGGTCAGCTCCCTGGCCGGGGATCAAACTCATGCTGCAGTGGCTGCCAATAGCTTGATAGCGCTGTGTTTTTAACCCCTGTGCCACGAGGGAGGCCTTCAATGACTTTTAAATTTGTATTTTTTTTTATTGAGGTAACGCCAGTTGACAACATGTACCTATTATAGGGCTATAGGTTCATACCTCTTCAATGCCTATTACCAGCCCACGCCCACCCCCAGAGCACCAATAACCTTTACCATTGTCAATTCAGGGACACTGTGATTTATTTTTTTGTTTCAGATCCTCTTCCTTAAATATGATACTTATACAATTGTACACTTTATCCACTGAAGAAAAGATGCATTTGATTAACAGGCGTAAATTTAAAGGCAATAGTTTTGTCTGCTATAACTTGAGCCTCATAAAACACAGATGATGAGAAAAGAAAAACTATCTGTGCACATTTTATTAATCAGACCACTTACTAACCACTCAGTAGATAGCAAAGCCTTTTTTTTTTTTTTTTTTTTTTGCAATGTGATCAAAATCAATTTGGGGCTTATCTTCCCCAATTACTGGCGATTACCTTCTTGCTTTATTCCCTCACCTCCAACTACCCTCCATCCTCTTCATTTCTTCTGCTCTGGAAACACTGCTGTCAAATCATTAATATGCTCCTGATGTTCACACTGATTAGTCTAGACTGTTACTTCGCTGTTTTATCTGAGTATAGGAAATATTTTCCTATTTTGTTTTATCTGTGGTTAGGATGAATTCTGTAATTTAATGTTACTTTTTCCTTTCTCCTCAAAATCTGCAGATGCATTGAAGCTGCTCCACACAAGCCATCAGACTTGTTAGAGTGAGGAAGAGTTGTCGTCCCAAGCCTGGCCATCAGCTCTGTGTCGCACCCCCAGTCCTGACCCCCCACCACTGCTCCCTGCTCCCTGGACAGTTTATGTGTTTGAGCAACCCCATAGGATCTACAGTACCAAGAATGAGCCCTAAGGAAAACTATCAACTTTGGGTAATTATAATGTGTAATGTCAGATCATGAATTGTAACAAATGTTCCACTCTGGCGGAGGATGCTGAGATTGGGGGGAAGCTATGCATGTGTGGGGGCATGAGGTAGATGGGAAATTTCTGTAGTTTCCCCTTGATTATACTGAAAACCTAAAATTGTCCTAAAAAGTCTTAATAAGAAAACATTTAAAATCACATGCTTATATCCTTTGAAGTAGTTCTGTTTTACATTTTAGAACTTTTGAGTGATCATGACATTAAGTCATGAAGTAAATACCCCTCAAAAATTAAGACATTACAATGTCAAATGAAATAAAAATTTATTTATTTTATAAATAAAAAGGCTGCAAATGCCTAGGCTTTGAAGACATTACCATGATGCTCTACGTTGTATGAACATTGAAAACTACCTAAGAACCAGATCGGGAAAAAATATTCGTTATAGCCATAAAAAAATATTTATTGCACAAATGGTTCCTTCAGTCCCAAGTCACACCATTCTTGAGCCTGGAGAGCAGCTCACCTGTGTATGGTCCGACTGCTGTCACTTTGCTGGGCCCAGTGCAGCCCCCTCCCCAAGAGCACCATGTGCTGAACAAGCAGAGCGTGTAAACGTCACACACATATACAACAAGAATCACTTCATGTTTATCATGGCTTCAATGCCTTTATCCTAAAAGAGTTGACCTCCATAGCAGAAGCTACTGAAGAATAATCTATACATCATCAAATTTACAGTAAGTAGGAAAAAGCAGTTAAAAGTAATAAAACGAATATATGCATATATTAACCATAACATAATCAAGATATATATATATATATATAACAGGAATAGAGGTTCTACAAATAGTAAAGTAGTGGAAGCTCTAAATTTAGAAATGAATATTTTGGCCCAGTTTAAAGAGGAAACATTTAAATGTACCAGGGAAGTTAACTACCGCAATATAGTTTTTAATGCTAATAAGGAAAATAACCGGTAGGCTTCAAAAACAAAACTTCAAAGAAATAAAAAATTAGTAAATATTTGAGTACCTAGTACCAGTCATTCTGTCATATTCAATTCTATGCCAGAACTCAGACAATACATGATAGCTAATAATTCTGAGGTTTACGAAGAAGAGGCTTCAATGGAAACCAGAAGTGTGGATGACATCACTTGAGAAAAAAGAATACTTAGAAAATGTTACCAGTCATAGGAAATAGCTAAACTTGTAGATGTGGATTAAATCAGTAAAAATCTATCATTCTGCACTATCCACTTTGTGAGGATTAATAAAAGCAACAGTGACAAAGCCTGGAAATGATACTGTCAAACCAGAACTTTATTTCACAATTAATGAACATTTGAAACAGGGAAAATAAATATGAGCATGCATAATGAAAGTGGTGCTCAGGGGATCAGGGCAAAGAAATTCAAAGCAAGAAAATGAAAAACAGATTAAGAATGCAGTTTGCAGCTCAATTTGTTTTCCCCCATCATGGAAATGAAAGGGAATACAGCTTGCAGACGGGATTTTCCAATAAACTCTGGTTTTTAATAACCACAGCACAGAGCCCTGTAATTAGTTGTGATTTACTGACATGTGGAATATTGAACACAATATAATTAAAACTGAAACCTCAGAAGAAAAGTAGGAGAAAAACAGAAGTCATAAAAATAAGATTATTGCTACAAAGAACTTGTAGCGATTTGCAGAGATTAGCCTTGATCTAGAGAAAATTTTGGTGGGTCTGTGGCTGAGTCAGCTTTCACTTCTTTAGGTTTGATGCCCCTTCCTCCGGGCACCTGGGTCCTAGAAAGCTGCATGTAGTTCAGCCCTTCCCAGACACGAGACAAGCAGAGTGGAGTGCTGAATGAAGGTCAAGTCCCCTTTTGAGGCTCAGAAACAGACTTGTTGGGGATCACTCCTCCCACCACAATGCTCTATGAAAATTCTACCAAAATGCTTCCCAGAGGAGGAGAGGCTCATTTCACTACCTTTCTGGAAAGCATCCACAGGCCATGTCATACTGCCTCAGAGTCCATAGTCTTTTCTTCCCAAAAATAAGATGTGGCCCTTTTAGGACCACTAAGTTAATAAAACCTGAAATAAACTGCACCAAGATCTACAAGTTTGTTTTCAAAAGAATAAATTTAAATTGCGATTAAAAAAATGAAAAAAAAAACAAAAACAAAAACAAAAACTCCCCTCATCTCTCCACTCGAGTCTTCACTGGAGGTTGGGAATCATGAGCAAGTCAGTAGGAAACCAGGTATCCTGCCCTGGAGCGTGACTTAGTCCTCCCAGCAGTGTATCCTGCCCTGGGAGGACTTATACTACTTAGAAACACAATGGAAGACGTCGACAACTGTCAAACATGTGCCTATCCAAGCCCCTTGCTTGGGAAAGAAAGGTAGGAAAGGGCATCCTACTGGGGCCTGACAGCCCATACTCTTGACCCACTTAGTAACAGGCCTCACTGAACGACTTCACGGAGACCTGAGCCCCAGGATCGCATGCTGTAAAACTCGCGGGTGGCTGCATACTGAAGGCCTCAGATCCTTGCTCGCTGTGCTCACAGGCCCAAGGATGTCAGTTCCAAGCAATTTTGGGATGTCCATACGGCTTAGAAAAGAAAGAAAACATTAGACTGATCAGACCTGCAGTGTCTGGCGCACCGGGAATCAGCTCGTTCTGGGTTGGGGTAAAGGCACAGTATAAATGGCTGGTATTGTTACAGCTGAACAAGCCTGACCCTAAGCTGTGGCGAGGCCCTGTATGACTATTTTCTAAGAATCTGTGCTAAGTGAGGCTTCACATTGCTCTGACTCGCGCACTGACCCACAATCAAGTGAGTTCAGAGAATGCTGTTCCCTGCATCTCAAGCACCCCACTTGGTTAGGACACTGACATTCTGCCCGGGGGCAGCACCTGTTCTAATCGTCTCAGTGTCCCAACTTATCTTTCTCTTTCTCTTGCAGCACTTCACAGTACGTGCCAGGGTGGCCCCGGCACAGGAGGGTCAGAGGCGACTGCTGGGCCCTCGCTCAGTTCCTGGGTGCTTTAGTCATCAGCTCCCTCAGAGCAAGGTGGCTACCTCTACCTCTCTGTGCACCCTATGGCTCCCTGTACAGGGGTCACTCAAGCACTTGGAGAACAGAGAAAGAAGGGGGGAGAGGGGAGGGTGAGACAACAGCAAGGGGCAACCAGAGGTGATAAGAGCGGATGGGCAACAGGCCCCATTGATCTGGCTTTGCTGTCTGGACCCTGAGGACCTAGCACCACCGCTCCTCCAGCTCTCACAGCTGTGTCCCTAAACAGGGCCATAGCCGTCAGGACCTCTGTCCTTGGGCTGCCGCAGCAGAATCTGAAGCAAAATCACCTTAGGGGCTGTTTGGAGCCCAGAGAAGCACTGTGTTAGGTTCATGACTAGTCAGAAGAAGGAGAAATACAAGAGGAGCAAGGAATAATCTGAGCTGGCCTAAAGCCCAGCTGAGCCCAGGGCTACAAACAGGCCTGGATGAGCAGGAGCCACGGTGAGTGGCTGGGCAGCAGTGGCCTGTCACCTGGAAGGCCCCTTACCTTGGGCTGGTAGCCCTGCTCAGCCATCATCTTTGCCTCCCGCTGCAGCAGGGCATCGGCGAGCTGTTCTGCCTGCCTCGTCTCCAATTCCTCCTGCTCCTCCTGCTGGTCTGCTTCCCACTCCTGCAGCTGGCGCTCTGCCACCTAGGCATCGAGAGCAAAGTCACCTCAAGACAAAGTCCACGGGACAGAGACCTGCCGCTGATCAGAAGGGAAGATCTGGATCTACCCCAGCTGGAGAATCAGTGGTCCAGTGAGCTAAATAAATGCAGATGCGGGCCAGAAAAAGAGATGGGCCGTGAATGACAGCCTTGCTCCCATGTGAGAGGAGGCTGGGCATGGGGCCTGAACTACACAGTCAGGAGGGTACAGGCTTCTGCTGGATATAAAATGGGACCCACTGAGCTCTCAAACGTGGGCTTCTTGGACAATGACTGGCCCAGGCTCTCTGAATCGTGTGCTGTGACCATGCGGAACCACAGCAGTGTCTACAGCCTCCGCCTCTTGTCCCCCACCCCTCACACTGAGACCCTCCTGCTCCAGGCCCAGACCCACCTGGGCCTCCAGTTCCTGCTTCCGGGCTGATTTCAGTTCTTCACTCTCCTCTTTCTCACGGCGAGCTGAATCTCTTGCCTCCTCAAGATTTCGAATAAGTTCTTCCCTGTGTCTTAAGGATTCTTCTTGTGCCTGTCGATTTTGTTCAATCTTTTCTTGTATTTGTTGTTGTCTTCCTATCAGGACCTATCCTCAGCAGAAAGGAAAAGGGAAGGCTCAGTCTAATTCTTACAGATGCGTGTTCTACAAGGCACGGACTGGCCGCAGCTACAGGTACACTGAGACCGGGCCTTGGCCTTGAGCTTAAATATGTCAAACATAGACCCAGAGTAGGGGGTTATCCAAACAATTTCAGCCATGATTCCCAGCCACGAACATACACAAAATGTATACAAATAAGGCAGTTATGTTCTTTAGTCTGTTTCTTCTTATGTATAAGAAAGAAATGCTAAATATAGAAGGGCCTCATGTACCAGGATGGTCACTGCAGTGTTTCTTAAAACAGCTGAAAATAGAAAAAACTAAACAGGATATATGAGTGGTGATATATGATGCAGTCATCAAAATATTTACAAAATATTAGTATGTTTAAAATCAAACAGCATAATATAGTGACAAATATGTGGGGAAAATGTGATTCACAGTTGCAGGAAAGCAGAGGGAAATACAGAAATGGCAGTGATGCAGATGAAAGGGGTCTGGGCAACAGTTTTATGATTCTACACACCTGAATTCTTTTCCAGTAAACTTACATTTCTTTTATTATGATATTAAAAGCCCATTAAACAAACCAGAGAGGACTTTGACTCCAGAATGCAGGGCAGGGGCTCTATGTCAGGAACTCCCAGAACCTGCCTGGGCCACTCCACCCCTCACCGGTGGGATTACCTCGCTCATCAGCTTGTCTCGCGCACTCCTCTCTCGGGCCCACTCGGCCTCTCTCTTTTCCCACATTTCCTTGGCCTCCTCCCTAAGGAAACAAAAACTGACTCCTTACCATGGATGACAGAAATAATGAACCCACAGGGCTCAGTAGCAAACATTTTCTGTGGGGCTACCTTGAAATAAACTTAATTTTTAACAGGTCACAATTAGGACAACATTCCCAGAAAATATTATTCCAGTAAGTATGGTAGGGTATCTTTTTTCCTAGTACATATTCTTACAACAAGTACTGTGTCAACTCACACGCAGGCTACTTCCACACCGAGGTGTAGCCATTAGGACCCTGGGGCGCAGAGGGGCACGGCTGATGACAGGCTGTCACCACTTCCTGGTCACTCTAGGTGGCCTGGGACAAGAGAGTGACCTGCTTGAGTACCTGTCCCTACTACCTACCACTTGGCTGATGTCAAGCCTGAACAAGGTGAGGACGGTGAAGCACGTGGCACAGCGCTGGGCACACAGTAAGTGCTCAATCAATGCTAACTGCCATTCAATTATTCCAACCGTCTAGATTAAATCTTAGGATCCAAAACCATCTAGAGACCTAAGAAGCATCAACGTCTCCTTAATTTATATCAATTTCCCTTTATGTTTCTAAGAGTTTAGAGGAAAAGATCCTTAATGTAAGTCCTAATATTTCCACATTGATAACCTAAGAGAAACACCCCATGGGCGGGTCTGTAAGCAAAGATGTGCTCCTCAGGGCAATGGTCTGATTAACAAGGACAAGTGTTTCACTCACAACAGGTGACCGGGTACCACACAGAGGCCAGAAGTGGGTGGCCCACACAGCTGCCCCTCACCTCAACAGCATCTGCAGCTCTGCTTCCCGCTCCCTCTCCAGCTGCAGCTGCTCCTCGATGACCTGCTTCATCCACGCCACGTCTGCCAGCGCCTGCTCCCGCCTGGCCAAGTGCACGCGCTGGTTCTCATCCTCCTTCTCTAGAAGTGCCTGCAGGATGCGCTTGTCCGCCTCCTGGGGGGAGGAAGAAGCACAGTGGGTGCATGGGGAGCCCTTCTGCGCCACAGCCTCCAGCTCCCTCCAGCTCCCTCCCTTCCGCACTGGGCACTGAACGCTGACATTCGTGATGCTTCCAAATGCTCTCCATACAGAGACAGAAAGATGGTGGGTTGTTTCCAGAACAGAAAGGGCTGGGTTAGACATCGAAGAGACCCAAGGGCTTTTCTGCCATCACTTGCAAGTCCCTAATCTTGGATTTATCTGGCAGCACAGTTTTTCAGAACACAAGTTGGATAATCCCACCTCTCACAACACAGGCCACAGAAGCACACACACACAGAGATGTACACACAGAATGCTGGCGTGCAGCTGCTATGTAAAAGGGAAATCAGGAAAGTAATGCGTGTCCACGGGAATGGGTCAAGCATTCTGTGCACCTACATGGAGAAGCTGCAGAGCAGTCAGGGGCTTGGGAGGCCTTGCAAGGCCTCCCAGATATGCCCAGGAGAGACCCTGCATGTGGGAGAAGCAGTAGCCTGCCCTGAGGAGTGCCCTGATGGCAGCAACAGGGTGGAAGGAACCTAAGGTCAGCTTCCCCTTTCTCCTTGTCTCAATGAGAGGGTATATCAAAATACTTGGCAGGAATACTGAGCAGCAAACAACAAAAAAAAAACAAGCTCAATCCAAATATACTATCTTAAAGTCTATTAAGATTTACCATTAAATAAGCCACTTCAAGTACATTGTGAAAGAAAACACTTTCCTGTGCACGTAAGTAAGGGCATCTAGAAGGACACACACCAAAACAGTCAGCTGGCCAGGGTCAGAGAGGGCAGGGCTGGGCACAGGACTCTCATTTTGTATTTCCATTCTCACAGGCAAGTTTTCATTACTGAACAATGGAAAACATTTTCTCAAAAAAGCATCAAAGGAATGCCAGTCCGTCTCTTGAGACTTACCAGCTCCTCCTGGATCTGCTGGGTACGTCTATTGAGTTGCACATTATACTGGTGTCTCAAAAAGCGTCTACAAATGAGCAAAATACAGATCGTTTCAGTGTCTCATAAAAAAATCAAACAGACGTTAGATAGCTATTTAAGGTGTTCCTCCCTGGCCGAAGGGATACATGCTGGGTCTCATCCTCTTTTTTCAGGAGCATCTGAGGATGCACCTGTTTGTCTCCTGGAGTCTGAGAAGTGAGAGGTCCGGCCCCTGGGATGGGCGGGCGAAGGAGGTCTTGCTCACACGTACCCCAGCTCTGCCTTCTGCCGTAAGGCTGCCATCTGCTTCCTCTCTTCCTCCAGCCTCTCCAGCTCCCATTGCTGCTTCAACAGATTCTCCTGCTCCTTCTTCAGTTTGGTGGCCTTTGATCACGACAACAGTAACCCAGTTAAAATCAAGAAACTTGGAGCTTCTTGTATTCCTCATTCAACAGACATTGGAATAGAGTGGCCTGGCCCCCTGGTGGTCGTGATCCCCCCCACCTCAGGGACACCTGAGCTGCTGGCCCAGCCTACTCATTCTTTTGGCCCCCCTCAGCAGAGCCATTTCCTGGTAGGCCCCTTCCTGCCTGCAGGTAAGGATGGGGCAATGTTCCCTGTTCACTAGAACCCTGAGCTTGCCCATGCTTTACTATAACTTAGCATCTGTATCCCCAACATGACACTGCTCCCACCGTGTGGTCCAGGACTGCAGGGGAAAGAAGGGATCCCCTCACCTAAATGGGAAGATCCAACCCCATCAATACCACACAGTATTCTCAAAACAGCCTCCTGGAGCAAAGACCCTTACAATTCGTGTCCCAAAACCCAAACCCACTAGCTAGGGGAAGCTATGTACCAAAACATTCAAACCTTTCAAGTCTGCTTAGTGCACAGGAAAGTCCAGGTTCTAAGCAGTCTCTGACTCAGAAGGTCTTACAAGACATCTAAGAAAACAGGAATTATCTCCACATCCTGAATGTTCTAGAACCCAGAGTACAGAAAAGTCACAGAAGGGCATCCACGACAGAAGGGAAAACCCAACATGGTTGCATCTCTCAGAACACCTCTCGCTGCTAGGGTCTGTTTTTCAGAACAGCTTTTCAAATGTCCACGTTCTAGAAACAAGCAGCACCAAGAGGAGCCACAGTCCAGGGGCTTCCCTCACCTCCATCTCCTTCAACTTCAGCTCCTCCATCTGCTGCAGCAGCGCTGCAGCCTGGAGTTTATCCTCCATTTGCCTCCTCTCCTCCTCTGCCTTTATCCGTTCCAGCGCTTCCCTTCGGGCTCTTTCATATTCATTTTCAAATCGTTTGTTCTCTTTCTCCTTTGTGGCTTCTTGCTACAAGGAGCAAATGAACCCAAGAGGTCAGAATTTATAATATGAAACCAGCAAAGACCCAGCTCCCCACTGCTGTCGGCAGGCCACAGGGCCCAGTTCCTCATTCCCGTGTCTGTGCCAGAGGGGCCCCAGCACTCCTCTGCTACGTGGCCCTGAGCTCTGGAAGGGCTGTTTCCCTAAGATACAAAGATGGGGGAGTCCTCACAAAGCATGTGGCACTGAGGAGAGGTGTGAGAAGGGACTCCTTTTCCTATAAGTCAACAAAATATTTTCCAAAATGAACCTGGAGGCAAAGTGATGGGTCCAAGGAAGCGTGGGCTTTTATCTCCAGAGGAGCTGCTGCAAGCCAAGGTTGACAGTTTATGATGCAAATTACACCAAAAAGACTGCCGGCAACAAAATGCCCCAAACCTCCCACCTCTCATCAACCAGCTCTGGTCATAGGAATGATCACCAGGATTCTAGCATGTGTAAGAGCAATATTCAGTTTTAACATGTGTTGAGTAAATTGAGAGTCTGTTCCTGGATTGGAGTCATTAACACTGAAAACAAGAAATGTGGAGAAAGTCTTCTGCCGTGACAGAAGACTCTTCCCGGAGTCTCACACCATACCTGCTTTTTCTCTTCTTTTTGCGTTTCCCAAGAGTTTACCACATGCTTCCTGTGAAGGTCCAATTCAATCTAGGATGAAAAGGGGGAGAGTATTAATTTCCTCATTAGTTCACCTGACAGATATGCAGAGCAGGGCACAGCACCACACACTGAAACGTGACCGTGACCTCCCGTGAGGACTCAGAGTGTCTTGTAAGGGAGTGGATGGTGACCCTGACACATACAGTCTGAAGGTACGTTGATGAGAAAAATCAAAGACCACGCAGTTCTAAACCAATTTCAAGAGCTAGAACTGAGCAACAGAAGCTCTTCTCCCTTAGGAACATGGACCAGGTCTAATCTCCATGCACATGTGGACAGTCCATGCTGTAGCTGTTCTAGAAACAGTGGCTAAACAACCCAATGAATGGATGGCCTGGTGCTCTTTTAGAAGCTAGTGTTTCCTCTATTAGACCCTAGCACAAGACACAAGTTTAAAAACAAGTCCAAAACATGATTTCATCTATTTAGGCACATCAGTGGAAGGATCCTTAGGTTTTCACCTCTCGAAGTTTGGGGTTATTCTTCTTCCAGTGCTCATACAACAGCTGTTCAGCAATCTGTCAAGAAAACAGAAGAAGCGTGATGTCACTTTTCAAATGCATTCACACTTCCGGTAACTTACAACAAATCAGCTGCCCCACTGGCACGGCCCCTCAGCCCCCCCTGCGCCCCTGGCACCCACAGCTCTGGAAGCCAAACACCCACACAGAACAGGAAATGAATCTCACAATGGCGACAACAGGAGGCCAAAATCTGAAGCTACATATGGGTCCTAGATAGTACAGATCTGAATCCAAAGACTCAGCAAGCTTAAAAGCAGATTGTGGTTCACCATTCCACCACAGAAGATAAAATCTGCCAGTCCCAGACTTTTGTGGGACCACAGAACTGGAATAAAGAAAAAGGACTCGGATGGTATAATTTAAGGGGCAGCCTATGAGGAGGTGACTTGTGCAAGTCACGGGTGAAGAACTCAAAGTAGGCACTCTGCCCTGTCAATCTACAGTATGCTGTAGATTTAGCAGCCCTCTCATCAGACCAGAGCACGAAGGGGTGACCCCACATGCACCTCATTGACAGGCAGGGTACGCTCCTGTTCTATAGCTTCTTAAAGCTCAATGAAAAGTTACCAGTTTCCTTTGCTCTTCTCGAGCCGATTTCAGATTCCCATGGCGCTCTCGGATTCTTCTCTCCTGCAAGTTCATGCTCAGCCTCAGGTCCTCCAATTCTTTGGCCAGCAGGTCCTGCTCCTCCATCAGGAGCTGCCTCAGTCTCTCCCGTCTGGCCTCCAGACACCTCCTCTTCTCTTCCTTCAACTTCTCTCGCTGATAGGCATGCATGCTGGGGAGAAGGAGCCCACATAAATCAGTCACACTACAGCCTTGTGCAGAATGCTCCGCTCTGCTGTGTAGGTGAAAAAGACTGACATGGACATCACCTTGTGACTCGGAAAGGTGTCCTCCAGCCAAAGTGAAGAGAGCAGGTCACAGAATGGTATGCATAATGGAATGTTGTTTTTGCAATGAGAAAATGTATAATGTACTTAAGTATGCATGTGGTACCGGTAATAGCTAATATTATTGGGCAGTTACCATACACCAGTTATTTTATTAATCATCACATAAATCCTACAAAGTTCTGTTGCAACCTCACTTTACTAATGAGGAAATTGAGCTTCATTCCTAAAGCAAGTGACACAGCCAGGATTTTCCACTGCCTGATTCCAGAGTCTGTGCGTTTCTTTCATTCATTTCTATGAAAGTGGTTTTGTATGTGTGTATATTTTGTATGTGCAGAGGTATGGGAGGCTATTCATCACACTATTATTAGTGGTTCTCTCTGGGGATTATGAGGAGACTTCCAGAGTCTACATACACTTTTATCTTTTTTTTTTCAGTGCAAAAGTATGTCTTCATTAATCTTTTTTGCTTTTTTCAACATCTAGTTGGAAAAACACCAAGCAGGTAATCCATACCTTTCAGCAAATTCCTCAAGAAAACATACCCTCAATCAAGTCACACAGTACGTGTCCCCCATCATCAAGTTCACCCCAGTTACCTCCGTTGGTAGGAGGTCTTGGAGCTCCATTCTGCCTGTTTGGAGGTCCGGATGTCAGACATCCGGAAGTAGCGGCTGTTCTGATCCCACTGCTGCCGAAGTCGGGCCTCCTGCTCTCGCTGTCGCTGTCGCGCTACCTGCTGATCCAGGAGCCTTCGGGTGCACCAGTAGGAGGGCAGCGTGGGGAGTGCCATCTGAGGAGAACAGCAATGGTGGAAAATAAACCAGCTGCAAAGCCCAGGAACCCTCATAAGCTTGGCCTCATTCCTATGGTGAGTGGTCTCACGCCTTGGGTGCTCATTGGAATCTCTAGATAGAGCCTGGACCCCCCATGCACACAACTTCATTTAAAATGTCTTTCTTTTGGCCTCCAAGATCAGCACTTTTTTTAAGTGACTTGCCGTCAGGATTGTAAATCATAGATTTTCAGTAAGTCTGCACTGCAGCTGACCTGGGCCAGATAGTACAAGAGCACTGCAGAACAAGGCATCCTAGGGACTTTATGTTCTGCGTAAAGCAGCAGGAATAGTAATTTAAAGAACACAGGGAATGTTCTGGTAGAAGCAGCAGCTGAATGCAGTAATTTAAAGAACATTTGTGGGGCCTCCCCTGGTGGCACAGAGGTTAAGCGCTGGGTTGCGAAGCTGCCTGCAGCCTCTGCAGTGCTGGTTCAATCCCCGGCTGCTGGGGAGGGTCCCACATGGCGCGCAGACCCCTCCTGCTGCCCGCTGCTCCCCTCAGCAGTGTGTTTTGTCAGTCTGCCTGTTCTGTTCCCCGCTCTGGCTCTGGTGAATTCTCTCACCGTCCCGTGCTTCTGACTGTACCCAGTGCTTGTATAAATAAATAAATAAATAAATCGTAAAAAATAATAATGGAAAAAAAAAAGAACATTTGTATGTACTAAGCTCTTGACATATGACATTTTCCATTGGGCAATCACCCCATTCATTACATGGCAGTTGAGGAAACTTAACTTGGAAGTTAACATGTATCTTGCCCAAATCCACAAAGCCAGAAAATAAAAGAAATAAAAGAGCTGGGATCCTAATTCATGAGGCGAGGCTCCAGGCTCCGCAGACTGCAAGAGGGTGCCTGCTGGGACCACCACACGCTGACTGTGGCAGCCTGCAGGAGGGAGCCCGGCCCAGGGTCCCAACCGAAGTGTTCTGGACTAGCATGGAGGGCCGACCCCTCATCTTACAGATGGAGAAACTGGGACCCAGAAAGAGGAATCGACATGCCTGGGTCACAGAGGAACCTGGGGACACAAATGAAGACCTGAAGGCAGAGAGCCTGAAGGCTGCTTCCGCACACCTTTACCCCTGGCCCACGAGCTGAGCCCCTGTGCGGGGGTCGACACAGCGCCAGCGTGGGCTGATGTGCTGTGCTGAAGGGCTGTGCTGACAGGCAAACTGTCCAGCTCCACAGCAAGCATCTCAAACTCTGAATCCTCCAGTACCGGGGGGGAAACGTTCACCCAGCGGCTGCTGCTCATGATCTCTGTCCAGAGACGGTGGCGGGGTCCCCCGCGCGGCCCCCCGTGTCCGGTAAAGGCAGCCATGGGCAAAGTTTTGCACCAGATGCAAAGAAACTTGAAGACTCCGGTCCCGGATCGGTCCCCAACAAGCTGAGCTGCTCCCCGAGCAAGCAGCACCCCTCCACCAGCCCCAGCACCCACATAAGGCAAAAGGGGTCACAGAGGAAAAGGCTCGGGCCCAGGCGAGGTGGCGGCAGGGCGCGGGCTCCCCCCGCCCAAGGGCGCTGGGGTCCGGGGTTCCCGCCATCGCGGGGCCGGCGGCCGCCCGGCTCTGCGACCCCCGCCAGCCCCACCTCGCGACTCACGTTTCTCAGCGTCCGGAGTTTCCAAAGAGTCTCCCGGCCCCGTCTCCGCACGCCCCGAGCGAGCGCGGCCAGCCGCCCAGCCACCCTCCCGGGCCCGCGCTACGGCAGCGCCGGCCGTTTCCACGCTCGTTGTCCGGGCAACGGAGCCGGCGACGGGACGCCGCGAGGGTCAAGCCGCCTCGCTCGCGGTGCTGCGCCGCCCAGGAAGCCAGGAGCGTCTCGGCTTTCTCTGGCGCCCCTCGTGGTGGGAGTGAGACCGCGCGCCAACGGTGCTGGTCCTGAAGGCGGGAAGATGAACTGCAGAAACCTGTTCCCTACACAGGATTCAGGTTAGTGGTTACAGGGGTGTGGGGGAACTAGATGGGGGGGGGTGATGGGGGAGGAAAATACACGCCAGGGGTTTTCAAACCCGACTGCATGCACGTGAGAATCATCTGCTCTGCGAGAGCTTTTAAAAATCCAGGTGCTCAAAAAAAAAAAAAAAATCCAGATGCTCAGACCCAACTCCAGACTCGCTGAAGGTAGCAACAGAGGTCTGAGCTCCGCAGGAGCCTTCACTGTGCAGCCGACTCGGAGACCCTGGTGTCGGTAGGTGCAAATTATTGCTAAGTTTCTACTGTAGTCTGAGATTGGTGGTGGGTTCAAAGTGTTCATTTTATTATGTTTTATTTTATTTATATTTTATTTTTTTAAAGATTTATTTATTTTTATACAAGAACCGGGGTACAGGCCAGATGCACGGGAGGGTGTGAGGAATCACCGGAGACAGAGTTGGGAACAGAACAGGCAGACTGAAGAAACACACTGCTGAGGGGAGCAGCGGGCGAGACAGGAGGGGTCTTCTCGCCATGTGGGACCCTCGCCGGCCGGCTGGGATCGAACCCGCGCTGCAGAGGTTGCGGACAGCTCCACAGTGCGGCGCTCAGCCACCTGCGCCACCAGGGAGGCCCTATTATGTTTCATAACTCACGTGTGTTACATCTATTATTGTATGTATAAATTATTGTTAAAAAGATATTAAAAACAGGCCTCCCTGGCGGCATAAGGGGTTAAGTCTCAGCAAGAGTTTGATCCCCAGCCAGGGAGCTGACCCACATGGCGCAGCAGACCTCTCCTGTCTCACCCGCTGCTCCCCTCAGCAGTGTATTTCAGTAGATCTGCCTGTTCTGCTCCCCACTCTGTCTCTGGTGAGTTCTCTCACCTCCACCCTGCACCCCAGCTCTTGTGTGCCCAAATAAATAAATCTTTTTTTAAAAAGAAAGATAGCAAAAACGTTCACTTTCATTTATTCCCTTTTCTTTTGTTTTCCCATCATTTCCTTCATTTCTTCACCCCTTCCTTCCTTTGTTGTTTCTCTGCTTTTCCTGGATGCAGTATAGTATCCTGTTGAACTTCCTGGCTGTTCCAATGCCTCCATGCTAGTTGTGTGCTCTGGGGCAGGTCACTCCATCTCTCTGTGGTTCAGCAAACTCCTCTGAGTGAGAATTTAAAGTCATTCAAAAGGCGGGCCCTTACACCCAGGTGGCTCCAGTGCCTCCGCAACCTAAACAACAAACCAAAAACTAAACAAGGTCTATGCACTAGAATCTGAGAAAACTAAACTTAAGAAGTCACAAACAGCCAACGAGTCTTTCCCAATTAAGGCAACTGCTTAAGATTTAGCCAATGCAATAAGCTCCTTGCTTTGCTTCCCTTGTTCTCTTTAAATACCTCTCTCTAGCTCCTATAGGCTGAGTGTTCCTAACCACCTTTGGTTTAGCACTGCCCAGTTCAAGTTGATGTTTGTTCAGATAAACTTTAAAAAAAGTTTCCATGTGTCTCAGTTTACCTTTTAACCAAGAGTATCAACAGTGCTGCTTTCTTTCCTTGTGAGAAGAAATGAAGGTTGAAATGGGGAGCTGGGCACCTGAACATCTCAGGGACCCGTGTGTGAGCTTTCTCTCACATCTCTCTTTGTTAAAGCCCCAACCCCAAAGAGTGGGTCCTTGACCTCTAGAGAAAGAATTCACCAGAGTGTGTTGGGTGTCATTAACCCAGGCGGTTTATTAGAGCTTGCACTCCCAAGAGAACAAGGAAGGCAGCCGAGGACAGGACTCTAGGCTGACTGCCGCAGGGGAGTCTGAGACCCACTTGTAGGCAGTCTCCTTCTTCGAGGCCATCTGGATCCTCCTTCGTGGACTGCGCATGTGTGATGGTCCATAACTCTGAGGTGACATGGTGACCATGGCTGCTGGAATATCTACTGAAAGTCCCGTATGCCTGGAAGCAGGTCATTGCTCATGCGCACACAAAGCTTGTGGAACACTGGGAAAGTTAGATCAAAGGGAGCACAAACAGAGCAACTATAGAAAAATGCAGTCTCTGTGTCCATCATGTCTTACTGGTCTCAAGACCCCCTCGTGGCTGGGTGGCTGGTGCCTGGCCTGGCCTGTTCCTACTCCTACTCCCACCCTTCCACATCCCCCATTTCACCTTGACTTGGCATGTGTTTACTCAGGATCTGCCCTACCCCCTCTCCATGGGTTACCCCGCTATTGGTCCCTACCCCTTTAGCTATTGGTCCCTACCCCTTTAGTCATTTTCCATATTGTGTCCCCAATGGACAGGGGAGGCAGCGACCCACCATGATCAGCCCACCGGTGACAGAGCTGAATATGTAAAGACTCCCTGCATGGAATTAGAACTTAGAAAATAGGGGTAATAGAGCAACTCAAAACAATGGGCACCACTAGGAGGCAGGATTGGGTTGGTTATCATTTATTTCTCACAGTTTTTCATTTTATGTTGGTGACTATTACTTGTGTCATTTTTTCCCTATAAAACATGGGTTGGTTAATCATAACAGCCTGCATGTCCCTAGTGCTTTATACTTTATGAGGTTCTTTCAATGCACCAGTGGCTCTCAACTCTGGCTCTGGCCTAAATCTCCTAGAGAGCTTTTTAAAAAATCCCAATGCATGATCCCTGTCACAGAAGTTCCCACTGAGTTGCTCAGGGGTGTGTTTTTTAATGAACTCTTTTGTTATAGAACAGCTTTAGATTTACAGAAAAATTGCAAAGGTAGTGCAGAGACTTCCCTCCCTTATGTTTCACATTCAGTCTCTGTCATTCACCTTAGCATGGTACATACTTCTGCAGGACAGGAGTCTGACTCGGGGCTCAGGGGCTCAGAGCTCGGTTCAAGGTGTCAGTTAGGCTGCATACCTTTCAGGAGACTCTCAGGAGAAAAGGTTTCTTTGCCTTTTCCGGATTTTAGAGGCCACCGCTAGCCTTGGCTGTTGGCTCCTTCTTCCACCTTCAAAGCCAGCAGAGCAGCGTGTTCCTCTGACCTGTAGTTCATCTCCTTGGACCACAGCTGGGACACTGCCCCACTTTTAAGGGCTCACATACCCACCCCGCTAATTCAGCATAACTTCCTCCTCCCAAGGGTTTTAACCTTCATCACATCTGCAAAGTCCCTTTTGCCAAGTAATGTGTTCACAGGTTCTAGGATTAGCAGGTAGACAGCATTGGAGGTCACCTTTCCAGGAGGGAAGGGAGACATGCCCTTCCTGGGTGTTCAGTTTTACTTATTGTCACTCAGTTGTATTTTTGTTTGTTTTAACCTGGATGCTGCCACATCGCTCCTAACCGATGGTGGTCTGCTCATCACTCCTAGTGTGGAGCTGGCCATTCTGAAAGAAACCTGCCTTCCTCAGGTGTGTGGCTGGGACTTTCCCCTGTCATCCCATCTGTCGATTAGGTGAGCACAACAGACCTTATTCTCATAGGCCTGCTCGTAGGTGCAGAGGAAGCTGGCGATTGGAATTCTATTCCAGAACCTTCCATTCAGAGCCCTCAGACAGCTCAGCCTGCTTCCAACTGTTGGCACTAACATTTTTTGATATTCTTATTATTTTTCAAGGCCAGTCCAATATGAAGGAAGGAGTCTGGACTAGCTCCAAATTATTTCACATATGAAGCTTCAGTTTCCTCGTCTGCAAATGGGGACACTTGATTGGCACTTGGTACATGAAAACTATGGGCACTATGTGCTCTGATACTGACAATTTCCTGCATGGTACCTTCCCCAGTACTTTCTGGGTTGTTTTCCTTTGGCTCCAAGAGGAAGGAGCTGGAAATGTGTTACATATTTGCTCAATACCAGTTGGTAAACTCCCAGTCATTCCAACTTTCCTGTTGAGCTGCACCCTTATCTGGTCAGGCTGAGATATGCACCCCTCTCTTGGTGGTTCAGGGGTAAATCCTGAGTCCTCTAAGCCCCTTGTGGTGGACCCACACCTTTGTGGACCACTGGGTGGGTGTTGAGCTTGGGGCCCAGTCCTGCCCTTGAGGGGGTGTCTGTTGTGTGTACATGGGGAGGGGTGTGTTGTTGAGTGTTGTCATATCTTCGGGAGACCCCTGCTGCAGTGAAGCCATCTCACTGGAGGAAAGCCACTGGACAAGCTTACTGTGACCATCACAGGGTAGAAAGATGGTGATGTCAAATATGGAGTTAACCTACCCCAGGCACCCAATCCCCATAGCTTCCTTTATTATTATTACTTGCTCTAAAAGTTTTTCTTCTTATTTTTTTCCAAAGATTTATTTATTTATGCATACAAGAACTGGGGTACAGGCCAGAGGATTCACCAGAGACAGAGTGGGGAACAGAACAGGCATATTAACTGAAGTACACTGCTGAGGGGAGCAGTGGGCGAGACAGGAGAGGTCTGCTGAGTCATGTGGGTAGCTTCCTGGCTGAGGATCAAACTCGTACTGTAGTGGCTGCTGATAGCTTCATAGTGCTGGGACTTAACCCCTTGCACCACCAGGGAGGACCCTGTTGGCTTTTTTTTTTTTTTTTTTTTTAATAGAGGCATGCTTTATTTATTTATTTATTTGTTTGTTTGTTTTGTTTATACATGCACTGGGTACAGTCAGAAGCGCGGGAGGGTGAGAGAATTCACCAGAGCCAGAGCGGGGAGCAGAGCAGGCAGAAGGACCGAAGTACACTGCTGAGGGGAGCAGCGGGCGGCAGGAGAGGTCTGCGCGCCATGTGGGACCCTCCTCCAGTGGCCGGGGAGCAGCCGGGGATCGAACCGGCGCCACAG